CAGCCGCCACTAGCCAATCAGCGAGGACCTAGAGATCCTCCCCCGCCCCCGGTCGCACCCTCTGCCAATGAGCGAGGCCCAGCAGCCTTCAGCGCACGCAGTTGTTCGCATCTTGTGCTCCAAATAAAGTTCTTCAGGGCTTTGAATTTTTTTTTTAAAGCGCCCGCCGCAGTCCCAGCAGCGGCGGACTAGAGTGGTCGAGTCTCCGCCCCGCCACTTCCGGTCCCGCCGCCCGGAGCCGGTGCGGCTGTGAGGGGCCGCGTCTCGCCGCCGCCGGCCGGCCGGGCATGGTGTTGGGCGCCGGGCCCACCTCGCCTGTCTCGAGGTGCCCAGGTGAGGAGCGCGCGGCCCCGCGGCGGGCGAGGGGTGGTCGCGGGCCTGCAGGCGGCTCGACCCTTCTCCCGCGGCGCTGCTGCAGCAGGCGGACCGAAGGCGGGCGGCGCCGGGGCCGCCTCAGGCCGCGCGGCTGCTCCCGGGCGGGCGGCGTGAATGGGACCGGCCGGGGCCGGGCTGGAGGGACCGCCCGCAGGAGCACCCGCCGGGCCGAGCACACACATGGCCGCCGTCGCGGGGGTGCTGCTGGCCGTATTGTCCCGAGGAAACGGGGCGCCGGGCGCCGGTCCAAGGTCACTGGCCCGACGTGGCGGCGGGAGCGGGACTCGGACGCGGCAGTCCGACTGTGACCGCCATGGAGTCGGCCCGGGACCTGACGCCGTTGGGGGCGGCCGCGGCGAGCTGGGGAAGCTGTTCCCGGGGGCGGAGGAGAGGACAAGGGAGGCCGGAGGACATCTTGGAACGATCGGTGCAGCTGGTCCCGGGTCCAGACCCGGTGCCGCCGGGGTGTGAACTTGGGCGTGGCCCTGCCCTCGGCGGGGCTCGGTTTCCTCCGCCGGCCCCCGAGGAGCCGGGCCCGCCCCTGCCCGCATTCCTCCGGCGCGGGAGAGGGTCTGGGCGGATCGCCGCGGCCGGCGAGGCTTCGCGGAGAAGCTGGAATCTGGGTGGGAATGTGTTCTTCCTGTGCGAGGGGTAGGATTGGGTGGTGAAGGGAAGGAGGGCATTCCGGGCCTGGGTGTCTCAGTGAACAGAAGCTTCCAGAAATGACATGCGGGGTGTTGTTGGCGAACAGGGAGGAGGAGGCCTGCCCTGTGCAGAGGACTTGTGGTTGGGATGAGGCAGGAGTAGGAGGGTACAGGGGGGAGAGGTGTTCAGAGACAAGTCACCACCAGGCTAGCTGCCGGGGGACTTGAGGGCCTCCATCTAGACATACCTACCTTTCATTTCAGGTAGGAAGGTGCAGGAAGGGGCAGGTTTACTGCTGAAGATAAATGTATTGGACTCCAAAGGCTGATCAACCAAACCACAGTAACTCCGTTTGCCTGCTGGGAGGTTCCTGGGCCCTGGCTTTCTGCCGGAGGAGAGTGAGTGGGTGTGGACTTTTTTGGGTCCAGATCTGGGCCTCTTTGGCTGGAGAAGCTGGTGTGGTTGTTCCCTAATGACTTGCATTCAGTTCCATCTTTTACCCTTAGTCGGATTTCTCCTGGCAGGAAGAACTGTAAACCAGGAGTTCCCCACCATGAGCTGACTGGCCCCAGTGTCCCTGCACAGGTGACATGGTCTGAGTTTGCCAGTACACGCAGATAGGCTGAGTCAATCTTACTTGGTGGTGAAACTAGTAAATAGCACGTATGGAACTTTGAACAGTCTGAAAGCGAGTCCCGCCCAGAGGAACTTAAATGTGTGGAATTTGGAGAGACGGAGCATGCTAAATGCTGATGTTTCCAAAAATGCTGCCTTAGTCAGAGTTATTTGCAGTAAAGGGAAGTTTAGTTTTAAACCAGGTCTTCAGTGTATGAAGCATCCTGAAGAAGGAAAAGAATTCTGAATCAGCTGGAGCTGTTCAGCAAACCTCTTGGCAAGTTTGAATATTTTTCCTTCAAATCTCTTTGTTTAATGTTAATTTAGCATCTATGGACACATTTCCAAATTAGGCCTTTTATTCCTAAGGTATAAAAGGTCTAGGTGGTAGAGAAATAGATGGTCATTATTAAATTTCTTAGAATGCTAGGGAAATAAGTCTTGTATTATCTAATGTAGAAGAGGAAACACCAGTGTTATTTTCTTTTATATGTTGCATGGTCAATGCCCAGTATGTTTTATCAAGGACCACAAACTTGAAGATCTCAAGCCAGGAAGTTAAGTGGAATTGAGTGTGGGCTTATCCCAGAGGGGAATTGAGTGTGGGGCGATAGGGTTATGAAAAAACTAAGCAGAGTCCTTAGACTGCAGAGGCACAGAAGAGTGCTGGTGAGTCTTGCCAGGGCCCTCTGAGTGGCTCCCTCGGTAGGCCCACCCAGGAAGCTGGGTGTGGACCAGGCATGTGCCCATGCCCTGACTTTTCCTCGGGGCTCTTTCTCGTGACTTTCCTCGTGTGCTGCCTGCTGAACTCTATACGTGCTGTGCTTTTATTTTTTGCCATATTTCATTGCCAAGGCCAGGTAGAGGATAAAAACCAAGTGCTTCCAGCCAAGTGACAGATGCCTGTTTTGGCCGTCGTCCTCAGGTGGCCCTGATGATGTGGTAGGACTGATATGTTAATTCTTGGTGCATGGCAGTGGGCTTGTCTGGGAGGCAAGCCTTGCTTTGTGGTCCAGATCACCTTAAGGGTGCCTGATGGATCATTCTGGGTGGGGGCTAATGCAGCACCAAAAGGTATTTTCCAGCGTGGGGTCCCCCCCCCCACACACACACTTGTGAAGTTACTTTATAAACTGAACTGGGAACCCCTGCTCTGGGTAAACTTGAAAAGGTGTGCTCCTTGATTGTGGTCCATGCCTCTACATAGATCCACCTGAAAAGATGACATGATAAGTGGGAATGAAAAAGCTAGTGTTGGTGTGTTTTCACCTTTTTTCAACTTTCTTGAGGTGTAATTGAAGTACACTACACATGTTTTAAAGTACTAGTATACAAATTGCTGGATGGATGTATATGCCTTTGGAACCATTCATCTCAAGGTAAAAATGTTCCCATCCATTATCTCCGGAAGGGAAACTAGTATTTCTGTGGTAACGGCTTCTGGCAACTTGAGTGACCTCAGACAAGCTAGTCATCAGGCCCCCATGGCCTGCGGTTCCACATCTGTAAAAAATGCAAAGAGTAGAAGGCCTTCCCAGACTTGAAATTCTCATAGCTTATGAACCCTAATGTGTAGTTGAACTATCTTCTGAAGCATTTAAACCAGTGATTCTTTTTTTTTTAAACATATTTTATTGATTTTTTTTTACAGAGAGAAACAGAGAAGGAATAGAAAGTTAGAAATATCAATGATGAGAGAGAAACATCGATCAGCTGCCTCCTGCACACCCCCTACTGGGGATGTGTCCACAACCAAGGTACATGCACTTGACTGGAATCGAACCTGGGACCTTTCAGTCCACAGGCCGACGCTCTATCCACTGAGCCAAACCAGTTTTGGCTAGACCAGTGATTCTTTTAAGGGGCCAGAGATGTGAATGTGTGTGCATGCACATGTGTGTGTTGCACACGTGTATGTGCATAGGTCACAATTCAGAAGATACTTAATATGTTGTTTTCATGGTACAAATAATAGAAAATAAAATCTTACAGTTTGGGGGGATATAGAAGATGGTGTGGGTTAAAATTGTAAAAAAAATACCCAGGAGGAGGGGTACCCTTATACCTATTTTGCCTTTAAAGATCTTAGCCTCAAACTAAGTTCTGTGCTTAGATCAAGTTTTCCTCTGGAAGTTTATTTTTATTTTTATTTATGTATTATATACCTCTATTGATTTCAGAGAGGAAGGGGGAGAGAGAGAAACATCAATAATGAAAAGAGAATCATTGATCGGCTGCCTCCTGTGCCCCCTGCTGGGGATCAAGTGGGCAACCCAGGCATGTGTTCTTGACCGGAATCGAATCCAGAACCCTTCAGTCTTCAGGCCGGCGCTCTATCCACTGAGCCAAACCAGCTAGGGCCCTCTGGAAGTTTTAGATCATTTTCTCTTGACAATAATCAGAGTAATATTGAAAGAAATTGATGTTAAGGCAATGCAGGAAATTATGGAAATATTGGGCTGGTGACCAATTTGTGTCCATAGTCAGAAGAAGCTCAAGTCCCTTTCCAACTGTATCAAAGCAAGTAAGAACTAGGAGGCATGATTCTAGAGCAGCGGTCACCAATGAGGTCCAGAAGGTTGGCGACCGCTGTTCTAAAAGACAGTGATACTTGTACAGATCTAGTGACATTTCTTGAGCCCTTTCTTCCAAGCAGTCAGGTACATCACCCGTGTTGGTCTTTATTATTCTTACCTGTGAGCTCTCGGTGGGAATCTGAAACACAGATGGTTGAAAGCAGCCAGCAAAGAGAATCTATTTGGGGGGCATTGGTTATAACTTAAACTTGATGTTGATATTGCCTAAAAATGTAAATAAAAAACAATAAATGTGAAGATGCTTATTAAGGTTCTAGCCCCACCTTACTTAAAGGAAGAAGAAAAGCAAAGCATCACTGTCCTCTCCTCACCGAGGCTGACAACCCCCTAGTCTGCCATGTGCCCAGCATGCGGGGCACACACAGGTGCATGTCCCTGCAGTGGGGAAGGGCAGACTTACATGGACAGTGGTGAGCCCAAGAGGAAGCTGTCAGCGGAGGCTCCCCTAGACTGTGAGCTCTGGAGCTCTGTTCCCACCGTACCCCCAGGGCCTGGCACCCAGTGGGTGTTAAATCCATTTTTTAAATTTAAGCTCCCTTTTAAAAATTTTAACTCATACTTTTAAAATTTGACTTATAGAGGGGTGTAGAGATTACCCAAATTTATTATGAAGGAATCCAGTCTTCATGTAGCTAATATGCTAATTTTTTTCTATTACTAAAGAAAAAAGTGAAAACCACTTACATCATTGTGGACAGTATTCAGCTGCTGTCTAGAGATTTGTTCTTAACTGAGCTTCCATCTGTCTTTCAGGTAAAGGCAGCAGTAATGCTGACCTTGGCGAGCAAACTGAAGCGGGATGACGGTCTCAAAGGGTCCCGGACGTCAGCCACAGCCTCTGACTCCACTCGCAGGGTGTCTGTGAGAGACAGACTGCTCGTTAAAGGTCTGAGCTCTTTATATTCCACAACAATGGGGAGGCTGGCTGGGAGCTCTGTTGGAGTGTGAAGCAGCTTGTTTGAAAATGTTAAAGCGTAACCGCTTACCTGTGTGCTGTGGGAGTGCTGCTGGTGAGGAAGTGCATTAGAAACTGGTGTGTCTTATGTATTTGGAGTATTCTCTGTGGGGCTGCCAGCATTGTTGACTCCTGGGAGAGGGGTCTGTTTCTTCTGGACCCCTCAGCACCAAGGGAGGGAGTGGAATTGGGTAATCTCTTAGGATTCTTCTCCATTTAGTCAAGTCAAAGCCCGAGGAGAGCCTGTGCAAACTTAGTTCCCCTTGCAGAATTAACAGCACGTTGTCCCGGAGCTGTGGGTCACATATGTTTGTGTGCAGCTTCTGTGTGACTCATTGCACAGACATACAGCTCTCAGGTTCATAGGCAGTTTCTTAGGGTCGAGGACTACAGAGTTGAGGGAGAAACAGCCCTGCCTTGAAAGAGCTTATGACATGTGTTTTCATTTCTTAAGTGTGAGGAGCTAGGAAGCACTTGGTATGTGAGTATGTGAGTAGTTTGTTAGAACTGTCTGTGTTCGTGTTCTTCTAGGCAGTCACGGTGGGGGTGACTGGTATTTGATATCCTGATACTTTTTGTGGCAGGGAAGCCTTGCGTATGTACGCGCTGTGTATACGTGTGCTGTGTCGGGCCTTCTCAGAAACAAAGCAGTGCTCAGCTTGGGAAGGAACGGGAACAGGAAGGCCTCAGGTTCAGGGGCACATGCTTCCTTGTTCTGCTGTCCCCGAACGTTGACTCAGCTCTGGCTTACGCCTCCTGGTAGAGTAAGAATTGTTCTATACATTTTGGCATTGCCTGTTCTGTTGGGGAGAGCGCTGGATTGCAATGGGTTTGCTAAGCAGCTTTATCCTGTGGGGTCAGAGGGTGCCATAGTGGTACCACCTCACTTGGGTGGGCCCTTTAGGACCTGAGTCTCTTCCGGGTGCTGGCTCAAGGGTTCCATCTACAACAGAAGCAGGAGCCAGGCAGCACATGGAAAAGGGTTTGATGCATGTTGTGGTCCTTGGAGTGGAGGGTGTTTTGGTTGCTGGGGAGTTACAGTGAGGATGGTCCAGACCTTTGCTAAGGAGGAACAGGTGGGAAGCTGGCAGGTATACTGTGCAATCTGGTTGACCATACCCCCGTAATGTTTATAGCAGCTTTGTACACTAAGCTCTCAGGGCCTGGCCCTCTGTTGGGCACTTCCTAGTACAAATCTAGTCTGACCTTTGCTAATCTTGCTGGAGGGTGGTTCATTTTGAAGCTGTACTTACGGGATTGAGAAACTTGCTGGAGGCAGCATTAGTGCAGGAGGACAGCTGGACCCACATATTGGGGTAGGGCAGGCTCTCAGGGGCAGGCCCAGCAAGCAGAAACAAAGGAGCAGGAAAGAGTACAAAGGCAGAGAAGAGAGGCTCCCACACACATCTAGCCCTGACATAGCTGGGTAGCCCACTGGGGCTCGTTGTGCTGGACTTTGCCCCTTCTCTAAGGGCAGGAGTGTCTTCCAGGACCTGCAAGGTCCCGTTCTGAAGGGCAGCAGAAGGCTGGAGTCAGTTCTCCTTGGATACACCAGAACCTGTCTCAGAGCAGCAAGCACCCAGTAAAGAGACTATGTCCTAAAGGGCCCAGCCATGCCCACCCTCTACCATACTAACACCTTCACCACACCAGCTCTTGATTTGAACCCCCAGGATGGTCCTCAAGGATGTCCTCCTGGCCAGAAATGGGGAGTGTAGAACAATCCAGTGAGTGGTCTGGGCCAGGATTGAGGGCCACTGCCTGCTCTGAACTCTGTGAGCTGGGGACACTGGGGAGAGGGTGTCAGATCTGTGCATTTCCTGTTGGCCCCAACTCAGGTCAGCCTGACTGGGGAGCTAGTGCTTTCAGCACAGTTGGTGCTGTGCTCATGCCTTACCTTTGTGGGCTGTTGAGTCTGATGGTGTTTCCACCTCCCCAAAATGTCCTCAGGCAGAATTGCTGACTTCTTATCTTCCACAAGGTGGCCCTTTTCATGCAGTGGGAGTATGTCTGTCCCTGTTTTTCACTTGTCCACCCAGCAAACTTAGTGCCTGCTTGCTATCAGTCTACTGATTCTGACCCCCAAAGACCTCAAGGGGCCCAGGCAGGTTGGCGGGCACTTTTTGCCTGTTAGTCTATGTGAAGTGTGGAGATTTGGAACTGAGTTGACTGAGTTCAAGCTCACGTCTGGAATCAGCGGCTCTAAAGGGACTGAATCTATGTGCAGCCTTTGTCCCCAGCTATCCCAGGAGAAAGGCTCTTCACGTCTCAGGACATTCACTGCCATCTTGCCAACAAGTGTGCTTGTTTGTCAAGCACTTCCTGAGCACCCTGTGTATGCCAGGCTCAGGGCCAGGTACTGTCCCAGGGCTTGGCAAGTCTGTTCATTCTCTGCCATGGAGAGAGTGCAGGTTCATCTGATCTTCCTGTGCAGTCATGCTTTGAGTGGGCTCTGTGGTTGATCTTTAGTTAGAAAGGAAAAGAGTCTCATTTCTCAGAAGGAAGTTGTGCAGCCACGGAATTGTGCAAGGTGCCAGGTGCCTCTCAGAAAGGCTGGGCCAGTGTGCAGTGGATGTGTTAGCATCTTGGGACAGGTGAAACCTTAAGCAGGGTAAAATATCTGAATTTCTTGTTACGGAACAGGTGGGGGTCATGTCCTTTGGCACTAAGGTAATGCAGGAAAGGGTGGCTGCTTTTCCAAGAGGCCTCAAGCATTTGTTAATGAGTAGTATTTGCCATCATTGGAGATGTAGAGAAACTATTGATGTTAATGAGTAGTATTTGCCATCATTGAAGATGTAGAGAAACTGTTGTCATTTGTGACAGCTCTCCGAGAGCAACACTGTGTGAGCTTCTGTGACTCGTTTTGTCTTGTATAGTGGGCTGAATTAGAGTACCTGGCATCTTTATTGAATGGTATTCCTTGCTGCATTGGCTGTTGGACCAGAAGCCTACAGATATCCTGCTTCTGGTTGGGTCATTGCTGGACTGGGTCTGAGGGCTCTCCCCGGCCCTGTCCACCTTCCTTGAGTGAGTCACACTGATCGTGGAAATGCAAGCATAGTGCTCATCAGGAATTTAAGTCTAGACTCCTGGTCAGCAAACTGTAGCTCACAAGCCACATGCAGCTCTTTGGCTCCTTGAGTGTGGCTCTTCCACAAAATTAGGAGTACCCTAATTAAGTTAATAACAATGTACCTACCTACTCATTAGTCAACAGAGCCAAATATCAACTGTACAATGATTGAAATTTTTGAGAGTCAAATTTTTAAAACTTAAACTTCTTCTAATGTCACTTCTTCAAAATAGACTTGCCCAGGCCGTGGTATTTTGTGCAAGAACCACGTTCAAGGGGCCAAAGAGCCGCATGTGGCGTATGAACCACAGTTTGCCAACCACAGGTCTAGACTATAGTATGAAGTTGTTAAGTCTGTGTAACCAGATGTGTATAAATATAGGTTGGCACAACAGCTGACAGCAATTTCCTGTACCTGGGGAGAGTAGCAACTCAGAGGCCTGAGCCCCACCTAGAACTTCTGGTGTTGCCTGGCAGGGCTGCTGAGGGGGCAGGGTTTGCTCTGCAGGTTCTAGGTCAGGGGTGGGAAAACCATTTTTCTGCCAAGGGCCATTTGTATATCTATAAAATAAAACATTATCAACTTAAAAATTGGCCTGCTGTATTTGATCAGACATTTAATTAACTCACCCCTAATACCTTGGCAGGGCCAGACCAAATGATTTCTTGGGGCTTATATGGCCCTCTGGCCAGACATCCTGTTCTAGATTGTGACAATGGAAGCACAACTCCAGATTTTACTAAAAATAATTGAATCATACACATAAGTAGGTCTTTTTAGTATATAAATTGTACTCGCTAAAGCTGTAAAGGTCAGGAAAAATCTCCCCAGGTGATTGGCATTGCTGCAGGGTAGAGAACCCCTGTCCTAGAGTGAGGCATCCTCTGCCTGTGCCAGCAGTGTGGGGCTGCTTCTGTGGCCCTGTCATCATCATGCCTGGTCAGCATCTCCCGCCACCCTGGCTCCAGACCTCTCTTCCCTTAGCACTAGAATGTCTTCTCAAACATTTTACTTCTGTTAGGTGCCCCCTCCCCCAAATCCTCTGGGCACATTTCACTGGGCTTTTGTAAAGGTGGGCGAGCAGAGCTCTCCTGACTGTAGATGGCATAGGCCCCCAGAGAAAGCCTGGTTCCTGTGGCCAGCATCTATCTCAAAAGAAGGGCCTCAAGGACGGTTTCTTGCAAATTCTTATCAATAAAAATTTAAATAATAGTATAATAAAATATGTAAATAGGATTTGCCTTAAAAACATAGTTTAATTATATGGATAACTTTTAAAGTTGTTAATATGAATGGTTCGTTTATAAAATGTCTGTTTTTCTGATACAATGAAATCCTGTGTGAGCTGTTGGAGCAGAGCAAGGCCCTTGCTCCTTCCTATCAGAGTGGATGCCTCGGAGTGCAGAATGCTGTGGTCCTCTACACCCCACTTTCTTTCAAGAGCACCCTGCTCTAGGGTAGGGCAATAGTAAGCCAGCCAGGAGGCCAAAACTGAAGATCACTGTGGTCGTTATGAGAGTAATGATATTGAACTTCTCATGGGCTCTCCATGATGTTAAGTGAATATGTTTGAATGTACAACATAACACTACCAAGAAGGGAGACTTCCAGGCTTGCATTTCACCACAAAACCTGGTCCTTTTCCAGTCATGGCCAGAGGATGATTAGGGTTACTGCTCTCTCCACGCCCAGCTCCGCTGATTGGCTATAACACCCTGAACTGTGTTCCCTGGCTCCTCTGCCCCACTCCACTTTCTAGATGCAATTCCAAACACCTGGATCCCCAAGCAGATACATTTTGTAGGCCTGTCAGCTGACCAGATTCTTAGTCAGCTGAAGTCAAAGGCCTATGTGTTTCCTAAATCTTAGTCTGAGAACAAAACTGCCCACCAGCACTTAGCACTCAGTTTTGCACACCAGTGGCCTCTGCCCTCCTCTTCCCACTCCTCTTCACATCACTTGAAGAAATCTTCATAACTGTAGCATTTATATTTTGACCACTCATTTGATTTTTAGTTTTTTAAATCTGGTTTTCATCTTTCCACTTGCCTTCTTGCTGTTTTGAATGTCCTCAGCTGGGTCCATCACACCCATTGGCTATGCCTTGGGCCTCATTCCCCTTGGACCAGCCTGTCCTCTCTTTAATGAATTACCACATTTCCCCATAGTTTTCCACCTATTTCTTACTCTTAACTTTCCTGGCTTCTTGTGCTCTGCTTTCTGCTGAGGTTTTTCTCACCAGTCTCCCCACTTTTGTTGGTCTCATGATCTCAGGTGGCATCACTCTGCAGGGGCTCCTCAACCCTGACTTGATCATGCACCCATACTTCAGCTTATTTCTCCCAGGGCTTCCCCAGCCCTGTGCTCCATCTTGGACGCCTCTCGTCCCACACAGCTGACAGCTCCTTCCATGCTCTGCCCTCAAGCACCCTGCTTCTCCCTGCCTCTGCCAGGCCCTTGCTGCCTACCCGAGTGCCCAGCTCACAGGTCACCTGGCCTTCGCTGTGCCCTTCCTAAAGTGGTCCTCTTGAGACAAAGCTTAGGAACTTTGGTTCAGAGATCTTCCTTGGCTGCTGTTGCTGCAGAATATAGTTTAGAATTCTGAGCCGTGCTCTTGGGACCTCTACGATCCTGTCCTCCTTTCCCGTTGCTCCACACTCCTCTGGCTTCGGTGCCTGTCACGTGTTCTATGGTTTTGCACATCACTAACCTCCACCTCTACTGGACTAAATTCTATTTTTTTCTTTGGAGCCCACTCAAAACCCTCTCCCTACCTTAAGACTCCACAGCTGAAGGGAATCCCAGCACATTCTGTTATGCCTGAGGCAGAGAGCACTTGCTTGCCCAGTTATTTCTGGGTGTTTCCCCACCCCTACCTTCACCCCCCCAAATCAGTTGTGTAGTAGCAGGATGGCTGGGGTTTTATAGCTCCGTGCTGGCAGAGGGTGCTGGGCTTCAGTGCTGTAGTGACTGATAGTACAGGCCCTGGAGGAGAGCATTGGGGCCAAGGAATGCAGCTCCAAGGGCATGGGCACGGGCACAAGTGAGGTCCCAGGAGGCTAGTTCTCTCACTGAAAAGAGCAGCACGCTAGGTGAGCCATCATGGGAAGGCAGGTCTGAGAAGCTGGAAGAGATACAGTTATATAAGAAAATCAATTTTGAGAGAAGGAGCTTCTATACTTGGGGGGAACAAGGTTTTAGAAAACAGTCCATGACTGTTTACCTAGAGGTAATTTCTGTGTTAATGTTAAGGTTTTCATTTTGAAAGTAAACTCTCAAGGGCCCTTGACTGTATTTGATGGCATCCTACATGTCACTTTGTATATTTGAAAGCAACTTCATGGCTTAAAGTCTAAACTTGAGGCCAAGTGTAGGGTTTGGGTCGTTCAGTTTATTTATTTTTTCCTCAGTTCTGGCAGAAATTTCAAATTTAGAGTTGGTAATTTCATGTGGAGTAGTTGACTGATATTAACAATAATCTCTTTGTTTCTACAGAGGTTGCAGAACTTGAAGCTAACTTACCTTGTAAGTATAGCTCCCCATCCAACATTAGTTCTGAAAAGTAATTGCATGGATAAACTTGTGATTTTAATAACCTGAATTTCATGTATGGTAGGAATACGCTTTAATTTCTGTGCAGATAGGGAACAGACCATTTTCAAGGCTGTAAGAGGAGGAGATGAGTCTTTCTGACCATAGCAGGCGGTGTCTCTCTCCTCACTGTAGCAGAGGTGCGTTCGGCTAGGTTTCCTATCTGCCACGTCCTCTTTGAGTGAAATGGTCTATAAATCAATAATGGACAGCCCTAGTTTTGTTAGTGATGATGCACCATTTTGGTCCAGAAAGTGCTCCTTTATCTTTGCGCATGAGATAGGATGGCTATACTGGCTGATGTCACCAGGCCCCCACCCCTGCTTGGTTCTCCCACTCAGACCATGTGCAGCCCTCACTCCTGAGTATGCTTGCTATCCAGGCAGTGAACCTGTGATATGTGGCAACGTTCCTTCCTTAAGACCTTCAAAGTCTGAAAGCTTTCACCATTTAAATGTTTTTTTGAATTAGAACTTTTTCTTGTCACACTTGGTTAAAAATTTGTTCTGATACTGAGGATGTGGTGATGTGGGTGAAATATTTTACAAGTGGGTCTCCCAGTCTGGGCGAAGGCTACAGAGTGCCCATCTGACTGGGGAGAGAGGAGGCCCATTTCCACCTAAAGCTGGAAAGATTATTGTGGGGCACATCCTTCAGTAATCATGAAATCAGTTTCTAAAGGTAAGTTCATATTTTTTAAAGCATTTTTAATATATAGTATTTATGGGTATAGTGGGCTGTGATATGAACTGTTTCTTATTTGGGTCCCAGTAAAAACTTCCTGATATGCTATTTCTCTTGCAGGTACATGTAAAGTGCATTTTCCTGATCCAAACAAGCTTCATTGCTTTCAGCTAACTGTGACCCCAGGTAATATTTTTATATACTTCTTACACAGCAAATTTTAAAGGCTGCCCAAATAATCTTTGTCCTCTAATTTTTTTAGTTTATGACAGTAATGACCTTTCCATATGACAACAAAATATATACTTTATGGTCAAATAGAGCCTAATGCTGTGAATCTGAGGCATTCATTCCAATAACTAGGACAGATCAGGCCACAGTGTACAAGGACAGGTTGCTGGTGTGTGGTGAAGAGTGTGCATTCTGGTTCAGATCCTGCTCTGTCGGTAGCAGCTGTGAGACCATGAAATCACTTCCTGACCTCTCAGCCACTGCCCACCTGCATGGAGTGGGATGGAACGGGCCTATCTCCCAGGGGGGTTGTGAGGCTTACGCAGATGGCTGAGTGCAGCACAGGTGGACAGGGCAGGGTGCCAGCTGTCCTCCTTGGGACTGATAAGTGTCTCAGCTGCAGGTGCCCGTCTCTTCCCTGGTCACACTGGGCAATGGGAGGGGAGACTGGTTTTCTGTTCACAGTGCAGCTCCAAGGGATCCAGGTTCCAGCACAGGGCCAGCATTACCTTGGACAGTGGGTGTGTTGCCAGTGGGAGGGGGAGAGAGAAGGGGAGGAGCAAGGGAATTAAATAGAGGGAAAGGAATGTTGTGGAGAAAGTGAAAGTGCTGTATGTAGAGGATAGAGGGAATGAGAAGCAGACTCAGAAGTTACTAGCTAATTTAAAAGTGAAAGAATGCAAAATTTCAGTAGGTGATAATGACCCCACAAATAAGCCCTGAAATTGTCTTCCTAAAGATGTGTGTGTGTGTTTCCTGTAAGATTTTTTTTTTTTATAATAACAGGAGAAATCCCATTTTCAAACTGTGCTTGGAAAGTTTTAAAAATTTATTGAATCTATATGGTGGTTCTATAAGCTGCTCTGGGACATAAATTCAGTCTGGTACCATTTCCACTAAGATGAGTGGCACTAGGATAGAGTTAAACCTGAATGGGCTGTTGTATATGCCTGATGCCCAGAGATAACTAGACTCAGGACTGCAAGCTGAAAGGCGAAATGGTGACCACTCTTGGTCTCCTTCATAAAACCACTGCAAGCTCTGCTGGTTTTATTGAAGGGCACCGAGCACTTTGTGTTTCTTGGTGACTCGGATCACCAGTGCAGGGTATTTTCAGAAATTGTCGTGGGGATGAAGACTGGTTCTCTGATGAGTAAGCAGGCTCGGAGTTGTGTATTTGTAGTAAAAACATTGGCTGCTCTCTGCCTTTCTGGGCATTGTCAGTGGCTCAGGGATTCTGTGGTTGTGTCCTGCCCAAGCGTCGGCTTTGTGTCCTTCTCAGCCACCTGTTGGACTTTGCCATGCTTGTCACTATTTTCCTGGAGTGGGTTTGTGTCAAACCTCTGGTTAAGTGTTTCTTTTTTTTTTCTTTCTTTTTTTTAAAATTGCATTCCCCCCTTCCTCTGTCTCTCCCTCCCCACCCCCTAATCACCAATGATTATATATATGACACTATCTTTCCTGTTCTTTCTGTTGTTCTTGAAAACAGAGCTCAGTTGTATGGTTTTGGTATTCTCTGTTGGATCAGGTTAAAAGGAACTTGTGTTTCTGTGTCTGTAACTGAGTATTTAGGATTTCTGTTTGTGATATGTGCATGTCAGGGACACAATTGTCGCCTGGAGCTGTGTGCCCAGCGTGCTCCTCACATACTGAGTCAGAGAGCCTGTGGCTCCTGCCCTCAGTTAAGTGAAGCAGGGCTGCTATCTGCCAGCCCTGAACACTGGCCCGATAGCCTGGTTTTAAAAGACTTTCTGGAGTCACACTCCTTTTAGTATTGAAAAAACTGACAGATGTGCCTAAGAAGTAGAGTTTTAAGGATGGATGAAGCAGATGGTGTAGACACTGGATCATTTGCAGCCAGTAATCTTGGGGCCGGGTCTGAAAGCCCAGGAATGAATGTGTGACATCTCGGCACTGGGTTCTCAGGGTGGAGGAGCTGCTTCTGCGTTTGTAGCTCAAAGCTCTTCGACTGGCTTCGGGCAACTTGATGACATTTCAGTTTTGGTGGTTTTTGGAGTGTCCCTCATGCTTGGAAATAAATATGCTCTTCAGAGAAAAGATGGAACTGAAATTTGGTGACAGAAGAAAAGAAATGAATTTAGGAGAAAACAAAGTCTTCACATGGACTCATAAAAGAAAACAAAAAATATTAGCAAGTGAAACAAAACAAAGCAAAACCCCAAACACTGGCTCATCTCTCCCCCAGAGCCTCCTGTGAGGTTTGACACACTGGGCCTGCCAGGTCACAGTTGCCCAGCTGGTCTGTGGAGGTCCCTCAGCCTGCACACTGTGGTATGGAGGCTTTTAGGCAGAGGGGGCTGTGGACATAAAGAACAATTATTATTTTAATTTTAGGTTTTCCTTTGTAAGTACATTTATTGGGGTATAAAATTACAAACAATAAAATGTACTAATTTTTTTTAAATATATATATATTTTTTATTTCAGAGAGGGTTCAGAGAGATAGAAACATCAATGATGATAGAGAATCCCAGTCAGGCCATATGCCTGGGTTGAAGGTTTGATCCCCAGTGTGGGGCATACAAGAGGCAGGCAGGCAGTGATTCTCATTTTCTCTCATCATTGATGTTTCTATCTCTCCCTCTCCCTTCCTCTCTGAAATCAATTTAAAAAAAAGAATGGAATATCTGAGTCATGGGAAAGATATATTTCATTTTTTTTAAGAAACTTTCTAAAGTGGTTGTGCTATATACCAACTAGCAATGTGTGACAATTTCCGACTCTCCTACTCTCTTACATATCAGGGTGTGAAATTGTATCTCACTGTGGATTTAATTTTTAGTGAGACTGTGTTGACACTATACATCAGCCCAACAAGAAGTGAATTACAATATTGAGTATTCCAATCCAAGAGCATGCTGAACATCTGCATCTACTTAAGCCTTCTTTACTTTCTCTTGGCAGCATTTTGTAGTGTTGGTGTGTATAAAGGTCCTGCAAGCACTTTGTTAAATATGTCACTAAGGATTCCATGCTTTTTGAAGTTGTTGTACATGATATTTTAAAATTTTCTATTTTACTTGTTATTAGTATATAAAAATGCAGTTGATAATTAAAAAAAAAAATTTTGTTAATTTCAGAGAAGGGAGAGAAAGAGATAGAAACATCGATGATAAGAGAGAATAATTTTTTGTTGCCTCCTGTACGCCCCTTCCTGGGGATATGCCCTGACTGGAAATTGAACTGTTACCTCCTGGTTCATAGGTTGACACTCAATCACTGAGCCATACTGGCCAAGTAATGCATTTGATTTTTTAAAATATATTGATCATGTGTCTTGTTACCTTGCTAAATTCATTTATTAAATTCTGGTATCATTTTTTGTTGTTAATCCTCACCTGAGGATATTTTTCCATTGATTTTAGATAGAGTTGAAGGGAGGGAGGGAAACAGAGAGAGAGAGACAGAAACATCGATGTGAGAGAGATATACATCAGTTGGTTCCTTCCCACAAATGCCCCACGAGGGCCAGGGATTGAGCCTGCAACCCAGGTAAGAGCCCTTAACTGGGAATCGAACCCATGACCCTTCAGTTCAAGCACCAAGGTTCTAACCAGTGAAAAAGACCAGCCAGAGCTTGGAAAGACCTTTTAAGCGTAATACCAAAGAAAGAAACCACAGAAAGACTGGCTTAAAAATGAAAGCTAGTTGGACAACAAAATCAAAACCAAATGCAAGCAGCAGATATTAAATGTTTATTTTGTGTAAACAACTGAGGGAAGTGGTAAGATGTAGTATTGCTGATTTGTTCCTGATGAGAAATAGTTTGGGGGAAGTTGAACCTTTGTTTTAACTTAAATATGGGTTAATTTTGTCAAATTCATGCCTGTCACTCTCTGCTGGCGGCAGCTCGCAGCGTTTACATCCAGGAACCTGCCTCACCTGCGCATGGACTCTAGAAGAGTCAGAGTGTCTGGTGGCACAGTTAAGGACATTGGCACAGTGCTGTGGGATCTGCAGACCTGGGGAGTGGAATGGAGGTACCACTGCAAATCTGGGCCTCCTGCATGCCCGCCCCCCAGCTGTTGACCAGGCACATTAGCGAGGCAGCAATTTTGTCTGGTTCAAGGATGTGTCCCCAGGGCTTGGAGCAGTAAACCTTTGTTAAGCAGCCAAAAGCCATGTGCCAGGCACTAGGGGTTTGGCAGTCACCACTAGTCCCTTACTCCACGGACCTGACGTTCATATGGAGAGACCAGCAGCAAACAGGTGACCACGCAACTTAAATAGGGTGTTACCTGTCGAGATGTGATGAGGGGACATGCTGGGTGCTGCGGGGCAGAATAGGTAGGCCCGGGGGGAGAGCAAGCTGCTTAGGTCAGGGTTCTGGAGACTGAAGAGGAGGAGCCAGTTTTCAGAAGGAGGAGGACATCGGGTCAGGGAGGAGGCCAAGAGCAGGCAGGCGTAGTGGAGAGGTGTCTGAACCAGTTCGGGCAGGATCTGGTATCCTGACCAAGGACCCTGAGTCCTCTTATGAACTCTTACTCCTCTGTGTTTGCCATATCCTAACATGGTGTTTGCTTTTGTTTTGTTTTCTTTCTTTTTTTTTTAATTTAAAGGACTTTTTGTTTTGTTTTGTGTTTTTTTGATAGATGAGGGTTACTACCAGGGTGGAAAATTTCAGTTTGAAACAGAAGTTCCTGATGCATACAACATGGTGGTGAGTAGCTGTTCCTGAGCCCCCATTTCCCCTTCGCATGGCTGGGTGGCCATAACAGGGCCCGGCACTCCCTGAACTGTGTCCCCTGTTACCCACCCAGTCTGGGGACTGAGCATGAAATCCCTGATGTTTTGTGGGTAGTGTCACTCAGCAGCAGTATCTAGAGTCCTAGCAGAGAGATGTCTTTTGTGAACAAGTACTTGAGGACTGCTGGGCAGTCTGCCATGGGACTACAGCCCCGCCCCTCCTGAGACCTTGAGCCAATTGGCAGCTTCACCGTTAGTGCTTGAATATCCCCTTTTCCTAAACACATCAAGATGGCATATTTTCATTATTTTTTTCCTTTTTGCCATTTTGGAGTAAATAAATGTTTTCTAATTGTCATTTGAACTTTCATAAGTAGGATATTAAATACTGTTTTCTACTTATTAGCTATTCATGTTTTTTTATGAGCAGTTTTGTGCTTAGCCCTTTGATCCATTGGGTATTTGTTTATCTTACACAGAAAGTATGCAAAACTATTTTTAGTTTTCTTAGCTGTGCTGTAAATATTTTCCTTGTTTTTTCCCGTCTCCTGTTGTTGTCTGTAAAAGTTCATTTTTTGTCTCATCATTGCAGTCAAGTCTACTTTTCTTTCATGAGTTTTTCATGTTATGAAATGTTTTAAAGAGGCCTAGACCCAATAGCTCATCTCCACTTCCTCCAGTGCTCTGTGGCTCTCACCTGTGTGTTTCCTGCATCAGGATGGAGCTCTGAGTGGGACTCTCATGAGTTCTAATGCCTAACCGCTTGTCCACTGAAGAATCCCTTTCTCTGCAGTGGCCGCCACTTATTACACTCTTAGCCCTGGGATGTATGGATGCAGTGCCAGCCACTGGGGTGGGTGGTTGGACTATTTCCTGTTTATCTCATTTTGAGGGTGGCAGGGTCTGCAAGAACAGTTCTGTTTGGAAAGTGTCTGAATCTGCGTCCATGGTTCTCATGCAGAGGTTTCAGTTAAGAGGGCCATTGACAATAGAGGTGTCTGTGCAAGGAACAAGGAGAAAAGGGGGCAGAAGCAGACAGATACACGTGGGGTGATCATGTGCAGGCCAGGAGTCCATGAAAGGGAGGGAGAGGAAGAGAGATTGGTTCCTTCAGGTGCTGAGCCGGCCAGTGATTCAGTCTGCCCACGGTGTTAACTATAGTCAGGTACCCACTAGTTAACTATATTGTTACTCAGTAGTTCACTATATTCAGTTGCCCATTAGAGAGAGTTATACAGCCTGGCCTCTCTGCTTCAGCCTGCAGGCCTCATTGGAGTGTAGGCTATCATAGCATCTCCCTGTCAAATGCACTCATTCATTTGCTGAAAAGCAGATGAGCATATTAAACTTACTCTGGACCTAAATCTGTAATCCTTAAACATCTATATTTGCATAGTTGGGAGAATCATTTTTTAGAAGTCTCATGATATCTTGAGGGGTTTTTTTGTTTTTTGGTTTGTTTTTTTTTAAAATCAAGAAGAAAATTTATGATGGTGCTGAGAAAAAATGTTTGCTTTTTAATATTTTTAAATTGATTTTTAGAGAAAAGACAGGAAAGGGAGAGAGAACCATGATGTGAGAGTGAAATATCAATCGGCTGCCTCATGCACAGCCCCTATTGGGGTGAGCCCGCAACCTGGGCATGTGCCATGACCAGGAATCGAACAGTCCTCCTGGTTCAACCCCTGAGCCACACACTGGCCAGGCTGCTTTTATAGTTTTAAAAGAACAACTTGATACAACACACCACATCATAAACAATGTTGAACTGCCTTATTTCCCAGTACTCGTTTCATTCTCCCTGCTGTGAGTTTAAATGGATCAGATTTCCATCTAGGAAGATGGCAGTGGCATCTGCAGGAACACACATAGGCACCACTTCAGGAGCAGTGACTTCAGACACCACAGCTCAGCAGCTCCACCAGAGGAAATCTGTAGGGTCCTGTTGGCACTGGGCAAGAGCGTTGCAGACGCCCCCTGGAGTGCATGTGGGCTCCTGCTGACAGGGGGCCCAGTCACCATCAGGCCCCAGGGCTTGTAGAGGGTTTGGTTGGGGGCACAGCAGGCTTTACCAGCAAGACTAGCACATGTGGGTACAGGGTGACAACACAGTCCCACATGGGTGATGTGAGTATCAAGGTTGAATGCCTAGTGAGGAGAACGAGGGACTGGGTGAGCACGTGGTGAGGCGGTGGTCTGTGACATGTTTGGAGGGCCTGTGACCTCTCTCTCTGCATTGCAGCCACCCAAAGTGAGATGCTTGACCAGGATCTGGCACCCCAACATCACAGAGACGGGCGAGATATGTCTGAGGTGAGTCCTCTTCTGTCTGTCTTCCACATTGTTGAGCAAGTCTTTCTTCCTTGGGGTTCTAGAAGGAAGATTTTGAAGCTTGGCCAGATTGGGAGGGTTGGGAGACGTCCCTTGGGGCTTGGGGCTGCACTCCGTGCCTGGCTGCTGCCTCCAGACCGGAGGCCTCCTACGCCCTTTGCTGGACAAGGCTGTGCAGTGTCATGCAGCCGCCCTCCAGGAGTCTTTGCCCTTTTCCTGTCCTGTTTTCATGAAGCTACATCCCCTCCACGTGGCTGATTTTAGCTAAGAAGGGAAAATGTCACTAATGAAATCCGGGAAGAAAATGTTCTCCTTTCACTAACACTATCACCTTTGAAAGGCAATGTGCAGCCTGTGACTGCTCCCAGCTGCACGGACAGTGGATTCTTCGTCCTTTCTTACAGGTGCAGTTAGCACCCATTTTCCCACCTCATATGTGGTGCCTCCTCTTCATGTCAGCCTTCTTTTTTATAGTTAAGAGTACATTTTATAAGAGTACTTGTTTAGAAGGCATCTTCCCTCTGAAGTGTCTATCCTGTAAGTATTGAAACTTCCAACCTGTGCCATCTTCAGTTTCAAGTGATAAGTGGCATCTGGTCCAGCTTTCTCCCTGGGCTCTCACCTGTGCTCATGTGCCCTTCCTCACTCAGAACTAGATCTGCAGCAGGAATCCCTTTTGTCACTTTTGCTGACTTCTGAGAAATCAAATTATTAGCAGAGTATGACTGGAATTTAGCAGATGCTAGCTACAGAAGCCATAAACATTGATAGGTTAAGATTAAAAATATAAAAACACAAAGTCCAAAAGCGAAGAGCAACTGGATTACACTGTTTGTGAAAGTCCTTACCAGTCAATATGAAAAAGGTGGACACCCCACTCTGGCCAGGTGTCTCGGAGCATCATCTGTGCACCAAAAGGTTATGGGCCTGCTCCTGATCAAGGCACCTATATCGGGCTGCGGGTTTGACCCCTGGTCGAGGTGTGTACAGGAGGTGGCTGATGGGTAATTCTCTCTAACATGGATCTCTCCTCCTCTCCCTCTAAAATCAACAAAAATATATCCTCAGGTGAGGATTTAAAAAAATGTTTAAAAAAGAAAAAGGTGGGCCAAACCGGTTTGGCTCAATGGATAGAGTGTCGGCTTGGGGACTGAAGGGTCCCGGGTTCGATTCTGGTCAGGGGCATGTACCTTGGTTGCGGGCATATCCCCAGTGGGGGGTGTGCAAGAGGCAGCTGATCAATGATTTTCTCTCATCGATGTTTCTAACTCTCTATCTCTCTCCCTTCCTCTCTGTACAAAATCAATGAAATATATTTAAAAAGCCGAAATCGGTTTGGCTCAGTGGTAGAGCGTCGGTCTGGGGACTGAAAGGTCCCGGGTTCGATTCAAGGGCATGTACCATGGTTGCGGGCACATCCCCAGTAGGGGGTGTGCAAGAGGCAGCTGATAGGTGATTTTCTCTCATCGATGTTTCTAACTCTCTATTCCTCTCTGTAAAAAATCAATAAAATATTTAAAAAAAAAAAAAAAGAAAAAGAAAAAGGTGGGCATGCCCATGGGGACAGTGGCATAGCTGTGAACTAGTGGTGGCACAGGAGAGAAGCAGGGCAGGAAGTGCTGAGGGTGCTCCGTCTCCTTGGAGCTGTTGGGTTCTGATCAAGCAGCAGCATGATGTAATTTGGCAATGCCAAACTAATTTTTCACCAGAAGGAACCTTGGTAATTAGTTTTCAAAATATGGAAAGTTCATTTTTGTGAGGATTCGCTGACCACTGAGCTTTCTGTTCCAGTTTACTGAGGGAACATTCGATCGACGGCACTGGCTGGGCTCCCACGAGAACATTAAAGGTAGGTGCCTTTGACCACAGCTGTGCCCGGAAACCTCTCCCTCAGTAACAGTCACCTGTAAGAACAGCCATGTCCTCTCTGTCCAGTGCACACAGGAGGCCAGGCACACCCTGCCCTTCCTCTCCCCACTACCCACTACCGCCAAGGGCTGCTAGCCACGCACTCGCCCAGTCAGTTCCTCTGTCCCCATTCTCTACAATGCAGGGAGCGTGTCTGGTCATCTGCTCTGCCTTTGCCCTTTACCATCTTGCTTCATATAATCTGCAGGGTTTTTTTTCTATCCTCCTACCCCCCACCCTAGTCTTGTATAGTGTCTCACCCTTAAAGGTGAGGAGAGTTGCCAGGAGTGGGTAGAATGGGAGGTGTGACTTTTGTGTGTCCCTTCTGAGCTACCCGGAGGTACACTGCACAGAGGAGGGGTGGCAGGACAGCGGCTGGGTCTGCTTTGGGGAGGGTTGTAGAGAAGAGCCACGGGGACTAAATAAATGATCCACTTGCTTCCACATCATAAGCTTGAGTTGCTTTCAGAGCTGAAGTCATGGTGCCTGTGTGAGCCACCATCTGTAGCCTCCCCTCAAGGCGTTTTGCAGTGGTACCCAGAGGACACCTAGGGCTTCTTCCTGTGGCCTGTTCACTCTCAGAAGTAGTCAGGCTTGGGCCAGTGTTCACTTGCTAGTGAACAGCTACCTATCACCATCCTTTTTGACTAATGGAAACAGTTCCAAACCATTGTCACCTTTGTCCTGTCTGTGTTGGGTTGACACTGCCCAGGAGAGTGCCTGCCCCATGCTGGTGTGGGCAGCTTGGTTCCCAGCTCACTTTGCCCCAGACTCAGCACAAAGCTGTGGTCACCTGGGCCATGCTATCTTTCCCGGTGACTCCTCCCTGAGGCTGACAGTCTTAGCCCGGCAGTGTGAAAGGGCTGTGGATGTCAAGCCAGCCTGTTTGCAAGGCTCTGAGAGCTGGTTGTGCACTGCACATGCTGCCCTCTCTCAAAAGCAGTGTTCTCCCCACACGGCACCTTTAGTTCGGTTGTGCATGGATTATAAAAGTTGCACCAACTAAAACTACTTGAGTCTTAAGTTTGGGCCAGATGCACGAAGATGCTGCTGGACGCCATACCTTGTGTCGAAAGGGTGATGCTGAGCAGGATAGGACAGTCCTGGGCCCTCCCCTGTGGGTGCTGGGCTTCTTTTCCCACAATGCTTCACAGACTAACTTTTATGCCCCGCCTTCTAAAATAATGCGCAGAAACCTGACTATATCCATCATATGCTGACTGAGTGGTTGGTCTCTGGGACCCTCCTCATTCCTGTTCCTCGGCTCTCGGAAGAGGACAGTAGACGCATTGCAGTGGCACTGTTCTTAGAGGACACAGGCCCAGAGACACATGTGGGTCAGAGGGGCCGGCAGTCGACTGGACCTGACCACACCTCTCGGTAGACAGCTGCAGAGTTGTGTGCAGACCACTCTGTGGCCAGAAGGGACTGGCAGGTGTTGTGGGTTACTGAGTAGGCACTTTGGGGGAAGAAGAACACAGGGAAGGCCTTTGGGGCCCTGTCCCAGAGTCGGGACAAGGCCAACTTCCTGTGGTCATGACCGTGGCTCCTCATGAGGTGTGGTCTCTACTGCCATGGGCAGCCTAGCCTGGCCTTTTCTCACCACACCCTGGGCGCGCCCTGCCCTCTTGGGACTTAGCTTCTGTACAGGCAGTCCCTCAACTTGGCAGGTGCTCCCTCTTGCCATCCCTCCTCCTGGCAGCACCTCACATCCTCTCCCAGATGAGTTCTCTGTGGGAACTCCCCTGTGGAAGCTCCTTCAGCCTGAGAGCTTGTGTTCATCCCCAGCTCTGGCCTTAGGTCTGCCTCACACCAGAAGGATGGATGGATGGACGGAGGAGTGGTGTGGGGATAGACGAGAGGGCAATTAAAATAGTACTAGCGGAGGAGAATGAGAGTAGGCCTGAAACAGATAAGCCCCTTTGTGCTGGTGAAAGGAAGCCCAGGAGAGAGCCTAATGAGAGTCCCCCATCACAATCAGTCCAGAGAGAAAGTGGGTTTCTGTCATTTTAGCTAAAATTTCTGATTTTTGAATTAAAAAAAAAAAAAAATGTCTCCCTTGATTTTTGAAGTAACTAGTGCAAAATTATTAAGATTCAGTGGGATGGTGGGTGATCTGGTTCCCAAGAGGCAACAGATACCAAAACAGCAGAGTTTATCTTAAAGGTGGGTGGACTCTGCCTGGGAGTGACAGGTGAGCGGTCCTGTGAGGTCAGGGTGTCCTAAGGGCTATTATCACCCAGGATTGGACTCGTCGACCTGGGAGGGCAGTTTCTGTTCTCTGATTTTACACTCACTGTCTGTGACTGCTCACTTCTGAATTTCCCAGTATGTGATTATAATGAGAGAAGTTGTTTTAATTTTATGGCTTGGGGAAAACAAAGCCTGATAAGATGAATTTTGATATGATCCAGTACATATTTCTTATGGGTTTGAAAGGCTGTGCATAGGAGCCTGAAACTTGTTTTCTTTTTTCCTCATTCCAGGATGTTGTTTGGGGATTAAACTCTTTGTTTACGGTAAGTATATTGACCAAAATCCCAAGCTTCTCTGGTTCCCCTGTTGTTAGCCCATAATAATAACAGTGGGATTAAAGACAGCACCATGTCCATATTGACCCCTTTCCTGTCACACTTTTGTGAGACTGGCCCTGAGGTGGTTTGCAGTGACATGTGGGAGGTGCCTGGTGGCACAGTATCCCCATTCCCCACGCCAGGTCGGTGGCTACAGTCTCCTCACGTGGGGGTGGGTCCTCTGGCAGCCCCCCTCCGTCTGCTCTCACAGCAGCCCAGCCCATAGCCCTATTCACTCCCACGTGTCCTAGTGTGAGTGAAGGAGGATGTGCTCATCCCTCTTGAGGCTTTACACAAACCCAGAACCTTTGAGTCATTCTCGTATTAGTGACGAGCTGCCAACAGAGTTCACCGTCTTCAGAAAACGACTCGTCATGGCAGGGCTGTAGGGCAGGAAGGGGCATGGGAAAAAGCTAAGACGGGCACAGCTGAAAGCTGGAGTTTAGATTTTTATATATTGTTATGTGTTCCTTGGAGTTTTTGATCAAAAAAGAAATTAACTTCTTTGGAGGAAAGAAAGAAGCTGTGCTGCTGTTGGTAAAATCTACATGAAAATGAGGCTGTCCAGGACAGCTTCCTGGCTCAGTGGATGGACCTTGAGGTGGTGCTGCTGTCCTCAACCTGTCGTCAGAGGCCACAGGCTTCTTATTCTTGGATTCAGCAAAAACCAAAGCCTCAAAATTAGACTGCAGGTCCCCATCTTCCTTGCCTTCTGATGTGATGTCATTTGGCAACACCTGGAACACAACCAACGCTTGCTATTTCAGACCTCCCTTAGTCTCCATGGGAAGGTAATACTAAGGGGAACGAGCATCTGGACGATTTTCTGCTGGGCCCTGTCGTTTCGCTGAGATTGTTTTTGACTTTCATATAAGAGAATGAAGTGTTATTTCTGGAGCAGTGCGGCCTGAGCGTGGTTCACACTCTGCTTGGCAGCCAGGCCTCTATCAGCTAGAGAGCATAGGGGCCGATGCTCATTGCCATTTTCCATCACAGCAGAACAGACCCGAAACCCATCCTGGAGGAAGCAGGCCCTGAATCAGAAATGATTGTGACTAGCAACTTGCAAGGGAATTAAATGGAGGAAATAGTGGTGGCTCCAGGGAATTTTCTTTCTTTCTCTTAAAGAAATCTGGTATAATCTTAACCCTTCCAAGTGTTCCAAACCTCCCAAATTCTAATGAGCCAATCCAGATTGCTAATTAAATCTCTAATGGTTATTCCAACCAGTATAGTCATTTTAGGTCAAAGGTGTGTGTGTGGTAAAGAAGATAAGGAATTCTGTGTGTCTGGTGTGGTCTTTGTACACACTGGGTGTCTTGTCTGATAGGTACTTTGTTTTTTACCTGTTTCCAGGTCTTAGAGTTTAATCCATAAATGACCATAGAGATTTATAGTTTTTCTTTGTTATATTTTCTTTCTTTGTCAATATTTATTTTCAAATCAGGAATACAGTCCGCAAATTTAGCACTTGTCCTGGAGGAATATGATTGTCTACGATGGTCCTTCTGTGGCTTTGGAAAGCGGGGGTTCATAATAAAACCAACCTTACTGCCTGGGTAGAGGAGGAACACTCAGCATAGATCAGACATGGCCCGTCTGAAATCCCTGGTGTTGCCATCCCAGGGCTTTCCTAAGGTAGAAGGGCTGGTGCCCTCCACCCCGCAAGGACGTGGGCCACCCACCTAAAGTACCATCTTGCGTTCACCTGGATTACAGGCCGTGAGTGATACTTGGGAAGGCGAGTTTGAAGATCAAAGGGAACTGCAGTTAAGGTCAAATAGAAACCACAGACTTAACAAAGGCAAAGTTGTTAATGACAAAATGAAGGAGGGGAATTAATTTTGAAAGAAAAAATAATGGGACTTTAACTTGGAAAGCTCATAATGACTGGTTTTTCATTCTCCAGTTACCAATAGCATTAGAAATTAATGTGATTGCTCTTGCCCCCATTTTCATCAATTTAGGATAGTTATATCTAAACATGACCTCCCCTCCCCCTTCTTTAGCTATTCATCACCATGTAGAACCAAGTACAAATTGAGTGCTCTGTAGCTTCATAGTGGATTCCTCCTCAGCTCCCCGGGCTTCATTCTGCAGTGTGCTAGTCAGTTTCAGTTGCCTAGTTCTTAACATGAAGATATATCACAGCAGAGAAACAGTCTTTCCCTTGTTTCTATCTTTAAGGATCTTCTGAACTTTGATGACCCACTGAATATCGAGGCTGCAGAGCATCACCTAAGGGACAAGGTAGGCGGGGATAGGAAGCTCCTGGCTGGTGTGTTTGGTAACTAGATAAGCGCAAAGTTGAGAATGGTGGGATCCAGGACTGGAATTTAAAGCATTTTATAATGGCATGTCACAATGCCATTATAAAATGCTTTCAGTAAAGTGTTTGAACTCCAGGTCAGACACGTGTTTTATTGGGAGAGAATTCGTAGTAGAATCTGGTATACTGTTTCTTTACCTTTAGCAGCATCGGAACCTAGAAGGGACCGTGGGTGGCGTGATGCCCTAAGTGCCCTCTGGGCCCCCAGCAGCCTCCTCACCTTCCACACCTTTCCCAGAGCTGTGACTGTGTAAAGAATGGGGTCATATTCATTACTCCAGTCTCAGTCCCTTTTAACCTTTTCCCTCCAAGTCAATGCATGAAGTGTCACTCTTCTACTTTCAGAACCCTTCAATGTCTCATAAGCAGCTCTACATACTTATTCAGCCATTCTCTTACTGGTGGGCACTTGGTTTTTCCCACTATTTTTTTTCCCCTACTACAATCGTAATGTAGTAAATACCCTTGTATACACGTCCTTACAAAGCATGTGGCAGGGTCTGAGATCTGCACAGGGTCCTAGGATCCGGCCTGTGGGACTGGGAGGAAGCTAGCAGCTTGTTGAGCCTTGCAGGGGTCACCTGATTCCTTGGAGTGCCCAGCATGTGTTCCATGCAGACTCAGGAAGCCAGTGATAGGCACTTCGGGGAGCAGTGGGTTCTACTGTGGAACTGAAGGGTCAGGCAGAGGAGGGTCGTCTGGCAGGCGACCTGAGAGGAGGCTGGGGCAGCACAGGCCTCCAGGACAGGTGGAGGGTGTGAAATGGCTCTGCCCCTGCCATCTCCGGGCCACCCTGGCTGGGGGTTGCCCAGCAACACCCCAGTTAGTCCCCTGCTGACTAGCTTCACAGGCTGTTCCTGGTCCCAGAGCCTTTCAGGAGGCTTCCTTTACGTTGTACTCACTCCACTTGTCACTACTGCTGACAGGGACCAATCAGCGTGCAATTATTCCAGCCCTTTGTACTCAACCTTGTCAAGGGCAGACTGGAGCTGTGAGAAAGCTCATACAGATGGCTCTGGTTCTGTCTTTCTTGGAAGGCTGCTTCCTATTCTTTGTATGATATAAGGGCAGGTTTGCAATTAATAAACTTCTCCCAGTCAGATGTTGCTAAAATCGGTCAAACAGTGATGCCTCCACATGAACTCTTAGATGTGCCCAGACCAACCTGCATCCTGATGTCGAGTCACGATCATGTTGTCTCTGTGCTCACTTTCTCTTGTAGTCATTTTCATCCCAAGGTTGACCGCTTAAGTACCAGATGAGATGCTCAGTGCTCAGGGGGATCAGCTCAGTGCTCAGGGGGATCAGTGAACAGACAGTCTCTGTCCCCGTGTAGCGTGCATTCTAGTGGGAGGAGGCAGAGCAGAGATAAGCCATCAACATGGAAGGGGGGAGTGCCGGGGGGGGGGGGAGTGAGTGTTGGGGGGAGTGATGCGTGTTGCACTTTACGGAGGATGTTCAGGGAAGGCCTTTCCAATTAAATGTGACTATAGATGTGAAGGGAGCCAGGTGGATCTCAGGGAACAGTATTCTGACAGCAGTGCAAAGCCCCCAAGGTGGCAACGTACTCCATGTGTTCGGGGCAGAGCACAGGGGCCAGTTACTTGAGCAGGAGGGCAGTGGTGAATCGACAGTATCAGCAACCCTGAGTGGCCCTCCCAGGTGCCAGGCATTGTCCCATACTCCTCCCAGAGTACATTTGTTCTCCTGCCTCCGGGAGGGAGGGCTTCTTGTTAGCCCTTATTCTCTGCTGAGAGACTCACCAGGAAGGGGCAGAGCCCCAGAGGTGAACACGGGGTCTGGCTGCATGGCCACAGGGGGACAAAGAGAGATGTGGGAGGCATAGTGGCCTGAGCACACAGGGACTCCGGGCTTTGTCCTGGGTGAGATGATGAGAGCAAAGGGTATTAGGGTTAAGCAGAGGCACCTTTGGGTGGAGGGTGCCTTGGGGCCTTCACTTCACATCCATTGAGCTTGGACTGTAGTTCCTTAGGAGCTAGGAGTATTGTTGGCTTCTGGGCAATGTGGTAGTGACTTGATGAGAGTTTGTAGGGGCTGTGGAGTCTCTTGAGTGCAATATTATCCGTGGACAAGTGCGGGTACCCTGACCTTGACCATACTTGTGGGCCTCACTCTCCCCATCTGCAGTATGAAAGGTCTTGGGATCTCCTCCAGCTGCTGTTTGTACTCCCTGCCGTCGTAACCCTGGTACAGTGTCTTGCACACAGTGGGCACCCACAGGGAACCAGCCCCACAGGCCTCTGGTGGCCCTGCCACCTTGACTTCGGAAAGCTGAACTCTCAGTGGGCCCTTGGCTCGGTGGTTCCCACTTGTTCCTTAGTTGTCACTCACCCTCACTAACTTGCTCTTCCCATATTCCACAGGAAGACTTCCGGAACAAAGTGGAAGACTACATTAAGCGGTATGCCAGATGATAGATAGGAGGGGCGCTGCAGCACGGACTGTGCTAGAGGGTCGTCTCCAGCTCTCGAGGGGGCCTCCATCCCAGTCCTCGCTTCCCGCAGACCCTGGCTCTGCTGGGTCCTGTGACATGTCCAACGGAGGAACCTCTTCACGACTGCCCATTGTAGACAGTTCCACATAAATACAGCAAGAAAATGCGTTTGGGCTCTCAAGAGTTGTCTGCTTACCTTAACATGTTTACTTTGTGAAACTGTACTGTATAGGCTGAGGAAATGCTTGAGAAGTTGTAATGAACTCAGAATCGGAGCTTGCTTCTTAACCTTCCCCCAAATCACTTCCCTGCACAGCAATGCCAATGACCTGCCAGATGCTGGCAGGTGGGCGGTCCCGAGCACGCTGCAAACTGTGATTGGATGAGCAGTCTCTTATCTCCTCCCATGAATGTCAGCCCTGCCTCAATGTCTGAGGCTTCCCAGAATGCAGTCATTCACTGTAGATCTCTTACTGAAATGCGTATTTTATTTAATGTAAGTATATTTTGGAACAGATTTGTAATTTGTACAATTTAATGCTTTAATTATTTTTTTCTATTCTTTAGTTTGTATTTTCATTGTATAGAGCAGGCAGATGTTGGGTCAAGCAATTATTGAAGAGAAATACAAAGGAAATATAAAAGACATCCATTCTGTCCAAATGCAATGAGAATTTGGGTCTTAAAAACCAGCTCTTGCTTTCAGGTCTGGGTGGGGCAAAGAAATTTTAGAACCCTGTGAGGCTAGAGCTGGATGATTTTTGGGGGAGAAAGGCAGGGAGTCCTTTATTGCATTTGGCCCAGAGGAACTGGCTGGAGTGGGGCTGGGGTTTCTGAGGGTCATGTGCTTAGGAACTAGTATGCAGGGATCAGAGCTACTTATCAGAGACCCAGACCCTTGCTCCTGAGGGACAGGAGAAACCTCGGGAAACAGCCAAACAATGTCTGATGCCACTGACACTACACCTGTGGCCTCAGTCTGCTGTGGTTCCTGGCCCGAGGAGGTGGCCTCCCAGGCAGTGGAGGGCGGGAATCAGAACAGCATACAGCCATGCTCAGTCAGGTCTGCACACTTCAGAGGCAGCACACTCAGGAGACCCCTGGACCCAGCATGTCATATGCAAATAAATATCTGTATGGTTTTGTCTACTGCCTGCCTGGCACTGTCCAGTTTGACTGACAGCCTCCTTGCCTCTGGGTTTCCCATCTACCTAGGCTGATCTTTGCTTTTCTTGATTCACAGTGTCAAGTATCATCTGATCTGGAGGTCAGCAGGGGAGGAATGTAGGCCATACTTCCTGTTTGTGACCAGGAATTTTGTGCCCATTAGACTTGGGGGTGGCCTCTGCTTGTGGGCAATCTCTGGTACAAAGGGGGGGAAGGGTCAGGCTGGATAAAGGGCATGGTAGCATCTGATTGGTGCGGGCCTGTCGGAGGCACAGTAGTCATTGGAGCTTGTCAGTGTACCTGGAACTCACTGGCTGGGCACTAGGCCATCCTCTGCCAGGTGGGTCAGGAGGTCAGCAACAGGCCCGCCCACACACTTGATTTCTGCCCTTTGACCCTGGGCATGAGTTCCCTGCCAGGGTCCTGGCACACTTATAGGCTGTTGGGGCAGCCACAGGTGCCAGTGCAGGGGAAGGGTGTCAGCGCCTGTGGTTAAATTCTGACTTCAAAATATTTGACATAGAAAAATGCTCTATCAGGGATCAAGTTTTTTAAAAATGACATTTCCACAGCACTGGACCTTCCCTTTCTGTCCAGGGAAACCCCATTTTGTTAAGCAGCACACCCAGCTCATCCCACTGCCATAAGCACCTACCTAGTCTTTGCCTTCTAATTCAGTGACGTGGGACCCTGACTTCCAGGCCTTGTGGCTTCTTGGGGTCCCCACACTCAGGGCATAGTCACCATTCTGCTTCCTGTCTGTGCCCCATCAACCTGGTGATGGTTGATTTCTGATCTCCCAGCATTGGGATATTGAGCTTCCAGCCAAAAAGGTCAGTCTTGAGCAAGTCCTTGAAAAGCCCAATTAAAATTCAACTTCTTCGACGACTTTGGCATGTGGCGAGAATTCAAATTCTGGCTCTATCACTACCTATGTGAACTTGGGCAAGCTGCTTTTCTGTACCTTAATTTCCTATATAAAATGGGGATAGCTACCTCCTTAATGAGGGTGTCATCGAGATTAGTTTGAATTAATGAAAAGTGCTTAGAACAGTGCCTTGCACATGTGGGGTCCGCAAATAAACTTGGAGACAGTTATGCAAAGGGTGGCCAGTCCATGGCTTCACTCGAGTTCAAGAATCTGGACCTTTGCCCTTAACACTTTCACAACTGACAAGGTTTACTGGGTCCACGAATGTTGGCATTTCCACTTGACTGTCCAACAACTCATCCAAAACAGGTTTCATTCCTGTCCAGATGAAGGCGCTGTCTTCTGAGTCACTTAGTTACCTCTGGCCTCCGCCCTCCCTCCTGCCCCACATCCAGCTCTCCCCCCTCTCCTGTACCTACCTTGAATCCACCTTCCCTGCGTCTCCACGCCCACTGCTCAGTGCTCCTCACTTCTCGCCTCTGCTCCGGACCCTCGAGTCCATACGCAGTTGAAGGAGCCCTAATTCCACTCTGCAGAAGACCCTGTGGCTGGGGCCGTGGACGCATGTTTTAGGAGATCCCGGGGACCAGGATGCAGAAGCGTGGCCCGCCGGCCTCCGCACCCGGCCCTGCTCCATCCTCACGCCGCCCGGTGTCGGGCGCCGCCTCCTCGCTGAGGCCGGCGGACTCGCGAAGGGACCTGGAGGGTGAGAAGCCGGAGAGACGCCCCCAACCCGCGACAAGTGAGACTGGGACTCGCGGGGGTTCCCGCCAGGATTTAGCTACCGGGACCACGCCCTCCGTACGGGCACGGCGCCCCGCCCCAGGGCCGTCACCTGACCGCGCGCAGCCAATCATTGTTTCATCCTCTCCCAGCCGCCGAAGTGTGGGCCCGGCGTACGCAGCTCAGCCAATCCGGACGCGCCCCGGCCTCGCGGCCCCGCTTCCCCTCGCGAAGCCCAGAGCTGACAGTTCGGGCTTCAGCGGCTGGGCGGGTGTGGGCTGCGCCTGGGCCCGGTGAGCGGGAGCCGGGTCGCGGCGGGGTCGGGATGGAGGCGGCCGCGGCACCGAGCAGGCATGCAGCGGGGCGTGTGGCGAGTCGGCCCGGCGACAGCGAAGAGAAGAGCCCGCCGGAGAGGTGCGCGCTGAGAGGGGAAGGCGAGGGAAATCGCCGGCCCCCTCCCCCGGGAAGCTCTCCAGGCGCCGCGGTGCTAGGGGTTGGCCTGCCCCGCCCAGGGAGGTCAGGAGCGGGGAGAGGGGGGCGCTGGTCACCGCGGGGAGGAGCCCCACGCGGGGTTGCAGCGCTGGCCGGCTGGCCACGGGGGAGGCCTGGATTAGGGATGAGAGCTGGAGGGCGAGCTGATGCGAGGCGTGGTGTGGGGAGGGCCCGAGAGGGAGACGTGCGCTGTAGCTGGTGACGTCCTGGAGTCACGGAGTCCGCCGCGCCGGTCCGGGCACGCTCCGCGCGGGGAGCGGGAACGGCAGGTGAAAGGCCCCGAGCGCACCAACGAGCCTGGCCCGGGCCGGCGGGAGCGCGTTGGAGCAGTCGGCGGCGCGTGGCCCGGCGGCGCCTCAGAGCCCAGGAAGCACTCTGGGGCGTATTTATTCTAAAGGTGTGGCGGAACTTGGAGGTTTGAGCCCGGGAGTGATGCAGTTTAATTTTATTGTATCCTGGCTGCCTTGTGGAGAATAGGAATGGGGGTGGGGCAGGGAAGGAAGCAAGGAAAGCGACTGGGTCTCTATAATGATCTAGGAGGGAAGAAGCGGTGGCAGAAGCGAATGAACTGAGACAAAATCCGCTGGACCCGCTGATGCATTGGTGTTGGAGAGGAGGGATAAGAAGGATGCCTGAGCCCCTGGGGAAGTAGGGATGAACTCAGGGAGAGTAGCGCGTCAGTCTGTGGGGGTTAGGGTGGAAGTGGCATTTTCTTGTTTGTGAATCTTGGCCCTCCGATTCAGTAATGTGTTAAATACTTTTTGTTTTGGGTAATCCTCTTTACCTGAATATGAAGAATAATAAATCAGACCAGCTCTTTCATTAGTCATTCTATTCTGGTTGGGAGAAAACGAATGGGAGCTGAAAAGATGTCCCCTAGGACAGCGGGGGCCAGCCTTTCGGACCTCACGGACCACCAGTAGTTGGGGACTGCTGCCCTAGGGAGACCGAGTGGAGGGGAGATTCAGGGTGCCTTTTTGCCTGTTTAAATGGAGTTTACCTTGTCCATACTATTGATAGCACTTTAAGGAAGTAGCAGGTAATGGAGCAGAGTAACCTGCAAAGTGTTCCTCTGAAATTCAAGCCATAAATGAACCAAGCAGCCGGTTGAAAAGCCAGTCACTCAGCTGACACTAGTAGCTTGAGGGGCTCTGGGTCACTTACTTATAGGAAGTGAGAGCCAAGCTGGGGCGCTAGCAGCTTTACATCACAGCAGGACTGGGAGTGTCCTAAAACTGGAACATCCAAGGATGGCTGGTCAAACTGCCCAAAGCCCCAGTGCCCTGTACCTATCAGGAAACTCTGAACAATTTATAGACAAGATGCTGCATTAAAACATTCATGGTTAAAAACAAAAACAAAACCAGGCTGTCAGACCAGCGGTTTACTAGGAGTTGTAAATGCTCCGTTTTGCCGTCTCTGGGTTTGGGCCTGACTTGTGTCGGTGGGAAAAGAAACAGTTTGGTTGTGCTACAGCCGGGGCTGTGATGTCGAGACCAGTTCTGACCATGCTCCCACACGCCATCCAGGTGTTCCAGTCTCTCAGGATGTGTTAAGGACTTGGTCTTGCTGTAAGAGAACAACTGATTTTTTCTAAGCATTGTAGGCTTTACAAATAGTAGACATAATTATGAAAAGCCACCTTAGCCAGTCAAACTTTAAGACTACTGAGAAGAAAGCACTCTGAATTGATACTCAAATTCCAGGAGAACATCATTCAAGCCCCTAAACCAGCAGAATCAATAAGAGGCCAACCCCCAACAAATCTACGGTATAACAAATTTGGAATTAAAAGTCTCTGCCTCCTGCAGGGCCAAGGTAGCTCCGAGACTGAGTGTTGACCATTGAACCAGGAAGTTGGCTTCGATTCTCAATCAGGGCAAATGCCCAAGTTTCCGGCTTGATCCCCAATGGTGGGCATGCAGGAGGCAAGAATCATTGATTCTTTCTCATCATTGATGTTTCCCTCTCCCTTCCTCTCTGAAATCAATAAAAATATATAGATATATAGATATATTTATTTATTTATTTATTTATTTAATATATTTTATTGATTTTGTACAGAGAGGAAGGGAGAAGATAAAGAGCTAGAAACATCGATGAGAGAGAGTCATCGATCAGCTGCCTCTTGCACACACCCCACTGGGGATGTGCCCACAACCAAGGCACATGCCCCCGACCGGAATCGAACCTGGGTCCCTTAAGTCCCCAAGCCGACGCTCTATCCATTGAGCCAAACCGGTCTCAGCAATATATAGATATATTTTAAAAGCCAAAGTCTCTTTATCTTTTTGTGCCACCTATTTTTCTTTTGAGTTACCTAAAATTGATTATTCGTTTCTCCTCACTAATAGAAGTGTAGTGTGTCCCACACTTGAAGAAGCTGGAAATTAGCTTATGCATAGTTATAGTAGTTCTTAGTATAATATTATGATAAGCAGAGAAATATAAAGTAACATTTGTTCACATCTCTTTCTATTGTTTCACAGTAAGGCAAAATGGGATATCAAATTTTTAATTAGTTTTTTCATGAGTCTGTGATCCTATAGATTTTCCTTAAAAATCTTTAAGGAAAAAATGCTTTGCAATGTTTTTGCATTCAGAGCAGTTACTTTCTGTAGGATTAATTCTGAGATGTAGTAAGTAGTTAAAAAGGAATATATGCATTGATTAACAAATTAGAATTTGTTTGCAACTAATTGAAATAAAAAATTATATCAGTATCTATGTTACTTGCCAAACAGTATTATTTAAGAGTATAGGGAAAATTACAAATAAGATTTTAGATGTATGAATGAATTAGGTTAAAAATAACTATAAGACTAAGCATTAATGTTAAATATCTCTTTCCTGATTATAAAGTCTTGGTATGGTGTTATGGCTAAATTGTATCTGAATTATAACTTACACCCTCTTAAAATTTTGAATTATGTATAAAGATAACTAAGTATATAATTGGCTTCCATGATGGTAAAATATATTTATAAAATTATATATTAAAAGGCTTAATGAAAATACATTAGAGTTTCAGAAGATTATTTAAGCTTTGCTTCATGACAACTACCTATTGCATGTTACATAAAATAGCTTCATTGTTTTATAAGGTGCTTTTAGTTTTCATGAACAGTTTGACAATTCTAGATGATACAACATTGATTAAATATTGTACTTTATTAAGGAGGGATCACAGAATTAGATTGTTTATGTTACCTGAACCCATAAAGGATGGGTTACTTTTTTTTCACATAGTGCAGAGCTCATGAAGAAAAGGACAAATGTCATGAAGGGCCAAACCTCTGACAGAATTGAATAAGTTTGGGCATGAATTATGCTTACATAGATTAAAATGATTTCCTAAAAACAAAGTAACTGTTTAATAGCCATGGTTAGTAACTACGTTTGAATCTTCATGTGGCTTGGTTTAAACACTGTTATTGACTTAAAAATCAGGTAACATAATTTCTAGTATCAGGCTGATTACCTAATGTATATAGTTAGGAAAACTTCTGAAGGTTTCTGATATGAGTAGGAAGAAACACAGGTAAATTCTACTGATGAGGATCTTTCTGAGAACGTGCCCTTCCTGTGACATTTACTTTGTGATCTTATGAACGGAGCCCCTGCTGTGTCCCAGCCGTTCTCAGTGCTGGCCTCCAAGCAGTGAGAGGAACTGGCAGAGCCCTTGCAGCTGACATCCTATTACTCTCCATTGATGCAGACAGGAATCAAGGGACAGGTCTAGGGAGAAACTGCTGGGAAGAAGGGGTGGGAGGCTACCGAGAGCCTCACCAGAAGGTCAAATTAGAGCAAAGATCAGAATAAGTCGGGGAGCAATGGTCATTCTAGAAGGCAAAGAAACCCGCAAGTTCAAGGGGGAGAGCAGCAGGCCTGCCTCAGGGTGGACCTGCCCCCTGAGGGAGACGAAGAGGGAGAGGGGGAACACGAAGAGGGAGAGGGGGAACACGTGTAGGTTGAGGGCTGCCCTTGCTTTATTATTTATTAGCTCCTGTGATGTGATAGACCTGGTGCACCTGTAATCCCACTCCCATCTCCTTTCTTTCCTCCAGGAGGGTTTACATGGACTACAACGCAACCACCCCCCTGGAGCCAGAGGTTGTCCAGGCCGTGACCGAGGCCATGCGGGAAGCCTGGGGAAATCCCAGCAGCCCTTACCCGGCAGGTAATTCTAGGAGATGCGCACAGATGGCAGATAGGCGGCAGAGGCATCAGGGAAACGACACCACGCAGAGTGCTTGGTTTTGAATAGATTTTCTGTGCACTGCAAGTCTAGCTTAATTCTTGGCAAGTTTTTTTTTTTTTTTTTCGAGAAGTCCAACTTGGTATGTTGACCCTTGTTGTACCACAGTCTTTAATCTTTAACATACATTCCTGTCTCCCTTTCCAAGATGAACAGGATGTCTTAAGAGTTATAGCTGTGCCTCGAGCCCTGTGACGTATTTGTCTCAGTTTATCCTTATAAAGTTTGCAAAATAAGATTTTTAAATCATTAGGATTGAATATAATCCTGGCCTTTTAAAAAAAGAAAAGAAAATCACTTTTAAATTCTTTAATTATAAATATTCTTATTTCTCATTTAGTCTCATTTTAATGTAGAGCAATGCTTTTCAACCCTTTTCATCTAATGGCACATCTAAACTAATTATTAAAGTTCTGTGGCACACCAAAAAAATGCATTTTTTGCCCATCTGATGAAAAAATAGGTATAATTTTGATTGGTTTACAATAATAATAATAGTAATTACTTACCCTTTTTACTCCAAAGTGACTTGTTAAAAAATCAGATGCCTATACTTGTGTATAAGGATTTTTGGTACCAAGAATTATCCAATCAGCTGAAACCTTAATATGTGTTGTGACCAATAAGATGCATCTCTGTTATATTATTTATGGTTCAAGATAGGGCATTCACACCGGATGGCTACTGTGTGTTGGCTGTTGTCATTTTTTTATTTGACAATCTAAGGGAAAGAGGTCAATGCCCCTGGTTAAATAGTCATGTATTGCACATTTTTAAAAATTCTTGCAGCACACTGGTTGAAAATCACTGATGTAGAGCATTAAATTGGAGGTTTTGGAAAACAACTTAAAATCACTAGTTCCACAGCAGAGTGACATGATGTTTTTCAGCTGGTGAGCAAAATTGTACCCTTCTGATCTAATGTTTATTGGGGATAATAAAGATAAACTATCTTAACTGGATTACAATGACCGAAGATAACATTCAAACCTACTACAGTCCTGGGATTTTGTAACACCTGGGTACAATTTCACGGCTATAGTGGACTTTCTTATCCATTTACTTTTGGAATTCCATAGCAACTTGATAACGGAAAGCATTTTTAAAAGCCCTTACTAGTCATCATTAGCATATTTGTTGGTTTATTTGGTGCATGTGTCTGGCTAAACTATACATTTCCTTGTCCCTAATATTTCCTCTAGTAAAATTGAGCTTTATGATACACTAAATGTGAGAATATGGAGAAGTTAAATGCCAATGAAAAGCAATTAATATGAAGAAGTTTGGGAACAACCCCTCCAGGAGAAATAATGTTCTTGGCCCCATGAAGGTCGTCAGTGGATTCTCAGTCCTTGTTTCCACAAATTAAGAGCCATAACTAAAAAATGCATCACAGTTCACTTGCTGTTGGTACTCAGTAGGAATTCAGAAACATAAAGGAAAACCACCTTTATGACAGAATGACTTTATTATGGGGTTAGCAGTTCCCCCGGGCCTGTCCAGTGGCATCTTCTGACACTCTTGAGGCCGGCCTGGTCTCTTGTTAGAGACCTGGACTCACCTCCAAGGACCCAAGTCCTGCTCCACGACACACAAAATGAGACTTCTGTGAGCGTTTTAACGTGTAGTCGTTCGTCCAGCGTGCTTCACCTGCGCTTGCTCTGCGCCTGGTGGGTACAGCAGCAACAGCACAAAGTCCCTGCCCTCACGAGGCTTCCGTTCTAGTGAGGGTGCAGACTGGGAGCTGACAAATGTGTGTTAGGTGAACAGCCTGAGAGACAGGATGGATCGGGCCCTGCGGGGTGGGGAGGAGAGCCCTGCCTTTGTGGCCGGACCTCTGAGGGTTAGGCATTCGCACCGAGGCGAAAGGACGCACTGCAGCTACAGGGAGTAACGGGTGACAGGCGGGGTGTAGGTGGGTGGGCCTGGCTCCCACCTGATGGAGATGGTTAGTGTCTGGAGAGTTCTGAGCAGAGAAGTGACAGTCGATAGAACAACTTTGAAAATGAAATGTATTTTAATACACACTGCCTTTATGGGATCTTATTTTGGGGGACACTATATCTGTTCAAGTTTTGTTTGTTTGTTCTTCCCAATAGGACTGAATGGTCAAAAAAAGTTTGGAGACTGCTGGCCGTAGGCTACTTAAGTAAGCATGGCCATTGCGGTTTTTAGAATTCCCCTCCTGGAGCCTTCCTTTCCATGCCTCCTGACGTTTGGTCCCGGTTTCCTGGGAGCCAGTGAGCCTGGGAGGTGGCTGGGCTGCGTGCCCCTGTGTGAAAGCAGGTGCTGCCCTGAGGCAGGGACCTCCTCGTCACTGGGAGGCAGGGCATTGGACTTGGTGCTGAGGGGTCATGAGTTCCAATTCTGCTTATTTTTGTTGTTTCGCAGCATGGCCTTAGGCTTTCCCGTTCTTTCATTCTCCTCTCGGGAAGAGAGGGAGGCAAAGCGATGGCCACAGCCTCCCTGTCCTCCAGCACCCTGTGAGGCAAAAGCTTGAGCAGGGACCTTCCGCTCCAGGCTTCCCCCAGATTTGTTCCTGGCCCTCACTAGCTTCCGGGGATCTCAGCTGTGGTCCCTGAGTCACTAATACCTCACTGCGGCCCTTGCACCGGGTTACTTCTAGGTGTTACTGTGATTATGCCAGCGGGACAAGTTTCCTGTTAGAATCACCCACTCAGACCTCTCGTTCCTTCATGGCTAGTCATTCTTTAAACGTGTCAATTGCACTTGATGAAGTGACATTAATGAATGTCCATTTTGGTCCCTCAAGGTAGGAAGGCCAAGGATATTATCGATGCAGCTCGGGAGAACCTTGCGAAAATGATAGGCGGGAAGGCCCAAGACATCATCTTCACTTCCGGGGGCACTGAGGTACGGTTTCTAAAGTCTCATCCTTTCAGCTGTAGTTTTTTGGCTTGTTTGTTTATTTATTTATTTATTTTTTTATTGATTTTAGAGAGGAGAAGAGACAGGGAGAGAGAGATAGAAACATCAGTGATGAGAGAAAATCATCCATCAGCTGCTTCCGACTGGGAATCAAGCCTGCAACCTGGGCATGTGCCCCAACCAGGAATCCTGCCTGTATGGGATTTCTGGCTTAGTTTTAACAAGAAACAGAAGGGTGCCTGGCTGGTGTAGCTCAGTGGTTGAACATCAGCCTGTGAACCAGGAGGTTACCCGTTCAATTCCCGGTCAGGGCACAAGCCCCACCACACTCCCCTGTTGTCCACTTCTTTCTCTAGGAGACCAACGCTGTTAGCTTTGTGTCCTCCAGAGGTACTCTGTGGGTAAAGTGCAATAGACGTGTGGGTTTATATAGTCTTTTCTCCTTCCTTCTGTACCTGCTCAGGGATCTTGGTGCACATACAAGCAAATGTGTATACACCTCGCCTTTCTGTGTAGTGTGTGGGACACTGTGTGTAACGTCAGCTGCCTCTACATTTAGCAAGTGTGTGCTCTTTTGGTGTCAGCCACAGAGCGCCCCTTGGTGTTTTTACATCTGCTCGTGCTTCGCTGAATAATGTTGCATCATTTATTTAACAAGTCCGTCATTGATACGCATGGAAGGGCTCTCCAGGCGTTCCCTGTTACAGCGCTACAGTCAGTAGTCTCCTACATCCATCGCCTTGCTTCTGTGCAAGGGAAGCCGTCGGACCAAGTCCCTGATAGGCTCTGAGTCAGACTTTACTGATGGAGCTGCTAGAGTGCCCTGAGTAGGGGGGCTCCACCAGCAACGGGCCTGGGAACGGTAGTGTTTTTTGACAGATTTTTAAGTTTGTTTTTTTTTTAAATATATTTTATTGATTTTTTTACAGAGAGAAAGGGAGAGGGATAGAGAGCTAGAAACATTGATGAGAGAGAAACATCGACCAGCTGCCTCCTGCACAGCCTCCACCGGGGATGTGCTGGCAAACAAGGTACATGCCCTTGACCGGAATTTTCTAGTCCGTATGCTAACGTTCTATCCACTGAGCCAAACCGGTTCCGGCAGGATTTTTAAGTTTTAAAAGTGCATAAGTTGCTTATGCAGACATCATCATGCAAAGCAGGTATAACTGACCAGAAATGAGTTCTGAGGTTTTTGAAAGTTTGAAACCCTCAGGCCTTTGCTGTTGGGCCTTTCAAAGGGCACAGCTCAGGAATTGGCTTTTTCTTTCCGTCTTAGATGTTAGCCACGAGGAAGTCCCAACGGGAGAGGTTGCTGTCCCCACTCTCCCCTTGGGGCAGTTTCTGCCAATGGCTGTTTGCATGTCTCTGCAGTCCAATAATTTGGTGATTCACTCGGTGGTGAGGCAGTTCCAAACCATCCACACCTCCAGGGGGGACACAGCCAAGCAGCCTAGCCCAGCGGAGGGGGCCACGCCCCATATCATCACCTGCACTGTGGAGCACGACTCCATCCGCCTGCCTCTGGAGCACCTGGTGGAGGAGCGAGTGGCCGGTGAGTGCCTGCCTAGACTGCAGCAGGGACGGCACTGCCGACCCGCCTGGCTGATCCGGTGGGGGGCGCCCCGTTGACAGGGTGAGCCATCACCCTCCTGCGCTCGGGCTTCCTGGCTGTCCTCACTTAGGGGACACAGCCTGACCCTCCTGGCTGCCCCTTGGGTGTCAGTAGATGCCATGAGGTTTTCTCTTAAAAAAGTGGCAATCAGGTGTGTGCAGATGATGTTTCAGGCTCTTGTATACAATGTTTAAATGGCATGTCTATAATATCTATAAAATGCTAAATGGTGCTTTTCATTGTTTGATTTTAATAATTAAATTTTGGCTTCTACTCCTAATAGGAAGAAGGATCAAATAGGCATCCCCTTCAGGGGGTCAGCATCAGGGGCTCTTGGGGAGGCTGGGGCAGGTTGGCCTGGCCTCCCCCAGAGCAGTGCCTGGCGGCCCGAGGGAGGAGTCAGGCTTACCTGCAGTGACATCGTCACACAGAAGGATCCGGTCCTTCTTTCACTTTTCCTGTGTTTCCAGGTTAAGACCACTGACTTGAAACCGTAAGAGCCTCCCCGACCCCCGCCCAAGACAGCCATGGTTCAGTCTCCTTTACATAAATTATTTCTTCTGGTCGTCAGCTTTCCTACTGAATCTGCCTGGGAACCTGAAGGCGGACCTGGGAAAGCAGTTTTATCGCAGAGATGAAGGGGTAGAACTGCTGGGGTAGGCCAGGTGTTGGTTTTCCTGTGTGAAGACTGGGAAGGTTTTCCTCCTCCTGGTCTTTCTGCTCTTGCCTGAGTGCACCAGTCTCAAGAAGCGGGGAGAGGAAGGAAGCTCAGCTCTAACCTTCCTATTAGGTTGCAGTTCCTCACATCCCTGCTGCCTCTTTTCTGTCTTACACGGAAAGGCAACTTAGTATACAGTGTTATCAGTTTCTGTTGCCTTTTCCCTCTTAGTTAAAGTTACAGAAACATTTACAAAGTATAAACATACTCATGATAGAAACAATGGAAACGTTATAGAAAGGTATCAAGTACAAAGTAAAGTGGCCCCCAGTCCTGTCCTACTCAAGCCCACCTGGAGTTTCTCTTATGGTTCACATTTCATTTTAATTACTTCCAACTTAATACTTAATCACTTTACAAACGTAATCTCCGCTTCAGCTCAAGCATCTGTTTGCTGATACTCCCACCCCCATATAAAACGATGACTTTGACCATTTCACTCCCCCTCCACCTCTCCCAATTGCTTTCTTTAAATAAATATATATTGGTTGCTTTCAGAGAGGAAAGGAGAGGGAGAGAAATAGAAACACCAACAATGAGAGAGAATCATTGATCGGCCGCCTCCTGCACGTCCTACACTGGGATTGAGCCCGAAACCCCTTCATGTGCCCTGACAGGGGAATTGAACTGTGATCTCCTGGTTCGTAGGCCGATGCTCAACCACTGAGCCACGACAGCCAGGCCAATTGCTTTCTTTATATATCAGCTTTCTGGAGATGTCATTTACATGCTGCAGAGGCCCTTAGGCTCCCTGATCTGGATTACCATAGAAATGGAATCATGTAATAACACGTGATCTTTTGTGCCTGGCTTCTCTCAGCATAATGTTTTCAGGTTCATCCATACTGTAACTTGTGCCAGCACTTAATTTCTTTATGTGGATGAGTAAATCTCATTTCATGTGAATAATATTCTCATTTTGTTCATCCATTCATCAGTTAAAGAGCATTTGTCGTTATGATTATGCCAGTATGAGCATTTGTCTGTAAGTGTATTTGTGTGTTTGTGGGCCCGAGAGAAGGGGAAGAACTCACACATCCGCTGGGCTTCCCTCGCAGCCCCAGCTTCATCTGGAAGGATGGAAGGACGTCTGGGAGGATGTATGATCTAATTAGCATTTTATGCTTTTATTATTATAGATTATAGCCATCTTAGTGGGTGTGAAGTGGAATCTCATTGTGGTTTTGACTTACATTTCCCTGTGGCTATTGATATTGAGCATCTTCTTCATGAAAAGACAGTCTGGCCAGGCTGCCCTCCCTTTGCCTCCTGTCCGTGTCCTGCAGCGGATGTGTGATTCTTCCCCTTCTCTCGGGCCCTCCCTGTCCTGGAGCCCCTGGGCCTGCCCCTTCTGGCTTGGGCATGTGTGCCACCCACTTGCTGGGTGCAAGGCAGGGGTGTTCAGACACCAGAACCAGTCCTCTGCCTGCCTCGGTCATCAGCCCCACCCTGCTCTCCACACTGTGCGCCCTGAACTTGGATGGTCACCGGATCTATTCAGACATTAATGTTCTGAGTTTGCTTATCCTATTTCTATTAATCAAATGCCACTCTTTCTGGGGATTCCTCAGCTTCCCTTATCTATAGGGGACACCTCTTAGAAATAGATCTGTTCTTTTGTTTCTGAGGGACCTTGAGGGGCAAAAGGGTGTGTTTGTCTTTTGTTTTGTTTTGTTTTGTTTTGTTTTGTTTTGTTTTGTTTTGTTTTTAATCAGTATTATGTTCTCAATGTCCAGATGGCCCAGGTTCCTTCTAGCTACATTCTGAGAGAGAACAGATGAGTTACCATAGCCCTGGGGCAGTGCTATAAACACCTCCTGTTGTCCCCTCAGTGAATGCCGGTGGTCTCTGATCCTCTTTTCTGACTTGGGTGGGGAAATCACTTCTCAGATTCCCAGATCAGTGCTCCTCTACCTGAGGCCTGGTTGGTCTGCTTCAGCAAAGACACCACATCTGGAAGAGCAGCCTTAAGTAAGAGCTTATAACTGATGGAATGTGTGGGGTCTACTGTCCTCTTCTGCGATCATCCTTGCCTGTGTTGGGCCCTCACTCCCCTATGGGCAGCCTTGATTGGTTTACTGTCTTGGCTGCAGGGGCGGGCGGTGTCGGAGGCTTCCTCGCGCTTTTCGCCACTACCCGAGCTCTCACCCCGGAAGCCAAGGCACCAACTACTAAGTGTTCCCAGGTGTGTTCATGTTTGTGTTTGCTTTTGAACCCAAACCCTCTATTTAGTCACCCCACTGTTTTCCCTGTGCAGTGAGTGCCGGGAATGAGCACTGGCTCAGCGCCGAGTATGTGGAGGTCAAGTTCGTGAGTCCCCGAGACGCAGAAAGGAGAGCTTTCCACAAAGTGAACCCACCAACTGAGGCTTCATTAAAGAAGCATTCAAGTCCATCATTTTGGTGGGATGGCAGTTCCTTCTTTGTAGTTTTCAGAATGTTTACAATAAAATTACGTTTGTAATCGTGGAAAATGCGTTTGTGGAGCTGTGTCTAAGTGAATCGTCAAGGAGGGTTCTCACCTCGGTATTTTGTTTTATGCTCAGAGGTCACCTTCGTCCCTGTGTCCACGGTGAACGGGCAGGCAGAGGCTGACGACATCCTGGCAGCTGTCCGCCCTGCCACATGCCTGGTGACCATCATGCTGGCGAATAACGAGACCGGCGTCATCATGGTGAGTCGCTCTTTCCTCTTTCGCAGACCCGGTGGGAAGGGGATGGTCAGCCCTGCCGGTATGTCCATCCTCTCAGCTGGGCCTCTTCCTCTGCTCTTATGTTTTTTTAATTTTTATTTTTTTAAATGTATTTTATTGGTTTTTACAGAGAGGAAGGGAAAGGGATACAAAGTTAGAAACATCAATGAGAGAGAATCAATGATCAGCTGCCTCCTGCACACTCCCTACTGGGGATGTGCTCACAACCAAGGTACATGCCCTTGACTGGAATCGAACCTGGGACCCTTCAGTCCGCAGGTCGATGCTCTCTCCACTGAGCCAAACTCTTCCTCTGGCTTTTAATTCTGTAGTGTTTTTGGTCTGTCCCAATTAGTGTCTCCTTCTTTCATTCGGTTTTCATCAAATCCAAGCAACATACCAACCCTTGATTTTTTCCCTCTTCAGCCCATCCCTGAGATCAGCCGGCGAGTTAAAGCCCTGAACCAGGAGCGGGCGGCTTCCGGGCTGCCTGCCGTTCTCCTGCACACGGATGCCGCGCAGGCCCTGGGGAAGAGGCGCGTGGACGTGGAGGACCTGGGCGTGGACTTCCTGACGATCGTGGGGCACAAGGTGCGCACCCAGAGGCCTGCTTCCCTCCCGGGGGAACATGGCTCCATGATTGGAGGCTCGCCGTTTACCATCACCTGTCACCTCGGGCACCTGCGGGCCCACTGAGAGCTGGACCCTGGGATCCAGTGACAGCAACTTCCCGCTCGGAAGAGCTTACAGAAGGGGGCCAGCGACAGCTAGCGTGTCATGTGACAAGTGCCATGGCTGGGATAATGGGGCACACAACCCATAGGGGCTGGAGGGGGCAGCCAGGAGGCAGTGGGTGGGCACTGAGGGTCAGGGGAGGTAGACGCAGGTGGGCTAGCCAGGTGGTGTGGGTGCTCTGCAGCAGGTAGTGGCAGTCCGCTCAGCCCTCCCGCAAGGACGGAGATGCGGGCTTCAGGAAAGTGCTGCTTTCTCTCACGTGGTTTAAAGTGAGGCTCCTGAATGTAAAGGGTTAGTTCTGTGGCGCAGCTTTAAGGTGGAGAGAGGGCTGGCTCACCGTGAAGACCTTGGCAGTGCAGAGGGCCTGGGCCTCTGGTGCTTTGTTCTGCAGCTCAGGGCTTGCTGGGCTCCAGAGGCCGAGCGCCTGGCCTGGCACCTAAAGCTCTTGTGGGATTTCTGTGTGAAAATGTGGACTCACACCCAGACACAGCCCTCGTCCTCCTGCCCGCCTTCCGAAGGCTCCCGTGACTCCGGCATGTGCAGGGCAGTGACCAGGCACAGCTGTGGGCCCGCACGGTGCAGTGTCTCTGTGCCTCTCAGCGATCAGTTTTCATCCTGGGAAGCTCCTTGCTTATAACGACTGCCTTCTCCTTTCAGTTCTATGGCCCCAGGATCGGAGCCCTGTATGTCCGAGGGCTTGGGGAACTGACCCCTCTGCACCCCATGCTGTTCGGAGGCGGACAAGAACGGAATTTCAGGCCGGGGTAAGGTGGAGGTTAGCGAGGCTCTGGCTGCTGGCTGGGGTGTGCCCCCAGGGCCGGCTCTCTCTGTCTCCGGCCACACATGGACCGCACAGCCCCTCACTGCTGAGCCAGCCCGGCTCTCCCTCCGAGCCCCCACTCAGCACTCACATACCCACAGGCTTTTGAAGACGAAGGACATCTCTGTGTCTTTAAGTGTTTCAAAGTGTTGGTCTGTGCCCTGGCCAGCATTGCTCAGTAGTTGGAGCATCAACCACACGCTTAAGGGTTGCAGGTTCAATTCCCAGTCAAGGGCATGTATTTGGCTTTCTGGCCCCAATCAATGTGTCTCTCTCACATTGATTTCTCTCTCCCATCCCACTCATCCCACACCTTACCCAGCATGACCTCAGAACAGATCCTGGACTTATGTAAAATACAAAGCTGACACTTTGCGGGGAAACAAAAATGGAAAAAATTGCCCAGGCCTAGGACTTGGCAGCGCCTTCTCTGCCCCAAACCTCTAGTGACGGTTCATCCGTCCACGGTGGGGAGGCGCTGCTGAGCCTGTGGACGGAACAGGGAGGAAGAGCTCTCAGACCCCGCCCGTTGCAGTGGGGACCAAAGAGGCGGCTGAGGGTCTGCAGCAGGAGGGTGGTTTCCCCGGTCCGGGCAGAACTGTCATCGAAGACTGGGAAGGGAGGGGGGGCCTGCCAGCTGCCACTGGGCAGGCAGTAGACTGCAGGAGGGCTGGGGGCCTGTGCGGCACGTGTAGAAAGGGTGTTGGTGTGATTTTTGTCTTGTACATAAACGGGATTCCTTCCTGGGACATCTGTCAGTTGGTTTGCATACAAATAAGATTGACTCCCTGTCTTACAGGACGGAGAACACCCCGATGATCGCTGGCCTCGGGAAGGTAAGCCTGTGACCCTGGGCAGGTGGCGGGAAACAGCCTTCCTCCCGTGTCTCCTCCTCTCGCGGCTGCCACACTCACCGCCCTCGGACCCAGCGGTTCTCTGTAACCCCGCTGGCTGTCCCGAGGGTGACTCAGTTCTGACGCTGCCTGGAGGCAGCTGTCCCAAGAGATCCCACACTTCAGACTCTACTCCCAAGTCCAGGTTGTCACCCGGGCTTCTGAGCGACGGGCTAAAATTGGAGGTCCCCTTAGCCCCCCACCATTCAATTAATTTGCTGAGGGGCTCACAGAACTCAGATCCCTGGTCTCATAAAAGGATGTGATGAAGGGGAAGGCCGGGCTGCCACGCCCTGGGTGCCACCGCCAGAGCCCCACGTATCGACCCACGCTGAAGCTCCCCCTACCCCGTACTTGGGTTTTTATGGGTTTCAATGGGTCCTTAATTCCATATCCAGCCAGTCTTCTCTGGAGAATAGGGGGTGGGGCTGAAAATCCCAGGCTCCTGAGATGGCCTGGACTTTTGGCAACCAGTCCCCCACTCAGCAGCCACCCAGTGAGGCCTCATTAGAACAAAAGGTACTCCTGTCACCAGGGAAATTCCAATGTATCCCACTCTCCCCTCCATCATCCCCCTCTCCCTGTGGGGCCGCCCACCATCCACGCCCTCACTTCTGGAATCTTGCTCTTATTCCCATGCTTGAGGCAGCAGCCAGGCCTGTCTGTCTGTCTCCACAGTAATAGTGAGGATCTGCCTCTTGTCGGTTTCCATGGCCACCACCACGTGACCAGGTCATCCCCATCCTTTGCTGACACCTGCCAGCCTCTTCCCTTCTCCACACACAAAGTGGTGGGTGACCGTGCAGGTCGGATCCCCTTCCCAGAATCCTTTGTCCTGTGATTTAGGCTCAGGTCCCACTCACCTCGGTGGCTGCCCCTTCCCCACTCTGCGTGCCATCACCACACCCCTCCCCCGCGTGCCTGTGTCCCTGCAGATCATCCACCCAGGCAGTGTGAAGCGCCCACCTGTCCCCGTGTGTGTGTCTGTCCATGGAACAGTAGGATATGCTTTGAGGGCTGACATTCTTTTTTTAAAAATATATTTTATTGATTTTTTTCAGAGAGGAAGGGAGAGGGATAGAGAGTTAGAAACATCCATGAGAGAATCATCGATAAGCTGCCTCTTGCACACCCCCTGCTGGGGAATGTGCCCGCAACCAAGGTACATACCCTTGACCGGAATCGAACCTGGGACCTTTCAGTCCACAGACTGACGCTCTATCCACTGAGCCAAACCGGTTTTGGCAAGGGCTGACATTCTTCCTGCCCTTATGGCTGTGGCAGCTCTGATACGTGGCAGTTTCAGGAGATGCCTGGTCAAGTACATTCCTGTGGACCAAGTGTGGTGACACTCCAGGCACTTAGCTCAATCGCCAGTCAGTCACCAGGAATCGCCACCCCTGCTCCGTGAAGCTTTGTGGTCCTTGGCTTTACAACATGTGGACGCCCCCGTGTCCCTAGGCTGCTGAGCTGGTGGCAGAGAACTGCGAGGCTTATGAGGCCCACATGAAGGACGTGCGCGACTACCTGGAGGAGAGGCTGGTGGTGAGCGCCCCGTCAGCCCCAGGGGAGCGGGTGTCTGGGGCCTCATCCATCTCCTTCTGCCAGTGGGCACTGAGGGCGGGGACTCAGCCAGCTGGTCATGAGACAGGAGCCAGAGTCAAAACCCAGAGAGCGACCCCAGCAGTGGGTTGCTTTCCAGACTCCAGACAAAGACGCACCAGAGACGGTACCTTAGTGATCAGTGTAGATTCGTGTGTCAGGATCTCGTCTCCTTGTTGGCTCTAGGTAGGTGCTGCCCAGTGGGATTAGTTCATGTGTTGAGGTTGAGGATTTGTTTCCCGGAAAGTCTGAAGGTGAAGAAGGTGGGGGATGGGGGGAGAGGGCAAGGTGGGACTTTGGAGCCCTCACGGACCAACTGGACATTTCATCCATCTTCAGGCTGAATTCGGTAAGAAGAAAATCCACCTGAACAGCCAGTTTCCGGGGACTGAGCGGCTCCCCAACACCTGTAACTTCTCCTTCCGGGGACCCCAGCTCCAAGGTAATGACGGTCCCCTGGTCTCCCGGGCATGGGGCGGGCTGGGCTGGGCTGTGGGTCGCCTGCAAAGGCACAGCGGCCGCCCTGTCCCCGGTGGCCTGGGCTGTCGCAGGCCTGCCTCTCCCACTGCTTGGCACTCAGGCACAGGAGGAGGGAGGGCGTGCGCAGTGCTCAGCAGTCCTCACGCCCAGCTGAAAGCGGTTCAGGAAGGAGAGAAAAAGAACTACATTTTAGGCTAGTTAATCCTTTTTTGTCTTCTTTTTAAATATATTGATTTTTTACAGAGATGAAGGGAGAGGGATAGAGAGTTAGAAATGTCAATGAGAGAGAAACATCGATCATCTGCCTCCTGCACATCTCCTACTGGGGATGTGCCCTTGACTGGAATCAAACCTGGAACCCCTCAGTCCGCAAGCCGGCGCTCTATCCACTGAGCCAAACTGTAGGGCTAGTTGATCCTTATTTCCAGCAAATTTTACAATATATTTTATGAAAGTTAGGGAAAGTAGATCAACTGAAAACTGGCTGTGAGGAGGGAAGAGTGCAAATCTAGGGGTTTCCCGGTTGCTGAGACACTGCTCCCATCAGGGAAGGGAGCTGTCCGGAGTCCCTGGGCCAGTCCAGGGGTGACCTGCCGTGTTTCGCTGGGAGGTGGAGTGAGCCACAGCTCAGGGCACACTCGCTGCTGAGGAGAAGAGGTCCTCGCTGCTTCGCCCTGGGTGACGGAGGACGGGCAGCATCGCGGCTGCCTTACTGAGTGAGGCCCTGGGCTGCGCTGCCTTCTCAGTGGGACGGGGCAGATGGGCGTGTGGCTGCGTCTCCAGGCGTGGTCACTGTGGGAACCCAAGTTCCTGTCCTTTCCCGGGGCAGACTCTGTATCGCGGGCAGCCTGTGTTAATGTGAACGGGGCCGAGATGCTTGTTACTGTTGTCGTCTCCGCCTGGAAGAAGAGGG